CACGAAAAAGCTATCGAAGCGAAATGGTCGGACGAGGAAGCGAGAACCAAGGAAAGGAAATAGATAAAATAAAAAAAATAGATATATATGTGAGGGAAAAATTTTAGTTATAGTCTGCTATATATCTCAATTCAATTAGAGTGGTAGAGATAAAGGGTCAATAGACTGATTGGCAATTAAATCTGAAACAAGATTCAGAATTTACTTTGCGTTTTATTAAAACTCACAACTCATCAGGCTGGAAAAAGATGAAATGATGATCAAAAATACACAAAGATTCATGATCTTTTATTGATTTTTCATTTTCATCCAATAAAATCCAAAAAAATCAACTATTCATTGCGATTTTATTTTTAATATTAATTATGAATTATCTGCCATGTCAATGTAGTCCAGTAACAGTCGTTCAAATAAGTTGAATAATTACTTAGTACATAAAAAATGTGTGCTAAGCAAACTAGCAATTTACTTTTATCATAAGTGTCATTGTGGCTCATATTTTTGTATTGAAAGATAAATCAAGTATTTTATCTGGAATATAATTTGAAACGACAATAGATCATTTTAAATGTTTTTTTTTTTAATGTCAATTGGTAGCAGGAAGTGATGTTTATTAGTATTGAGATTAATTGAAAGTTGTTAAAAAAAAGTTTAATATAATTAACTACTGTTTTTAATTCCAACTTTAACTAAATAAAAATTAAATTTAACCATGAGAGGTAATTGTTCTACATTTAATTCAATCGTTATTCTACTATCTCCATCAACACTAGAATCCAAATCTAACTCTATTGTTTGTAGTTTAATTATTTCATTTATGCTCTAAAAAATCTTCATGTTAAACTATTGACAATCAATAGCAATTATTTTTAACGAATAATTAGTATCAATTTTCAATACAATTTAACTATTCTTTATTTAGTCCCTATTTACTTTAACTACACATACATTATTTTTTATCTTGTCACTCTAACTCATAACGAAATCTTTACTTTAAACAGAAAACGTTGAAATTTAATTTTTAAATAAATATATTTATGTTAAAGTACATAAACAATTGATGATTTACAGCATTTTGAAATTACAACTTGTCTATTTATGCATGTAAAACAGAGAAGAAATAATATTTTTATTGTCAAAATTGGTTTATTATCCATAATTTTACACTTTTTTTAATAGCAGATAATCCATGATCGTCGATAAAAGGTAATTGAAATTCATTTAAACGTAAGCTTAAGCAAAGAGTAATAATCCCATTACTTACCTTATAGATTTTAACGAGTGAAAACATTTTTCAACATCACTTAGACACTATTAACCACACGGTTAGGATGTAAGCATGCAAGTATTAAGTGTAATTACATAATACCGTTGAGTTTATATAATGGCATATTATCAGTATTGTAAAACATACATTTTATTTTATGGTTCTGCTATATTTTTATGTATTGAATTTATAATAATAAACGATTTTTTTTAATCATTTAATCTGGATTATTAAAATTATTTTGATTTCTCTTTTTCAGTGATAATTGTTATGTATAATTCGGTTTATTTATTTCATTTGAGATTCATATGAAAGAAAAGTATTGGTTAGCTAATAATAATGTTGAAGAATTGATGCATATTCTGGTGATAACTTGTTCATTTTTATGCATGCTATGCACACGCTTTTCTGTTTTAATTTGAATTTTTTTTAAAGCTTTATTCGTGTCATCTACTCGAGAAAGAAGGATTCAGCACTTGATTTAATCATCACTATTGAGAATTATAAGGAATGGAAGTGGATTTAATAGTTAATTAAACAAGAAAAAATATCATTACTAATCTGTTTAAATCAAAAGATTTAGAAGTATATTCTCACAGACTGAAAAGATTGGACGAGCTGACAGATTTTTTACTAAGACGATAGAATAATCTTCAAGTTCAAATTAATTATAAATATTTTTCAATAAATGATATAAATATTTGTAAAACAGTCATGCCAACTTGGCCTAAAACATAGTCTCATCATAAGCTGGGACAAGTGTGAACTATTTATACATGAAGAAGTAAAAAAACGTTTGGGTAAGAAATGGATTGCTCACACTATCAATTTTTCCGGTGATGCCTAATCAGGTCTTCATTACGTAACTGTTCGTCGAGTAAAATTGGTCTGGAGTCAATACGACTTTTTGTTTTTGTTTTGTTAAGATATTTTAGATAAATGACATTTAAAGTCTGTTTCGATAAGGATGTATAAAAATGAAACTTATGATCAAATATTACCTTGAAATTTGTCACACATCTGAAACAATTTGACTTACGTTCATTATTTAATTTTTGAAGTAGTAAACCGATTACTTTTTTACAAAAAAAAGCTTTTGAAAATCAATCGTAAATACATTGGTATTATAGGAATACGAGTATTCCCTTCATTGAATTGATATTTATTTTAATAAATTTATTGGTTGGTAATGAAAAAATCACTAACAATATACATGAACGACGAAAACACAATTCGAATTTCCTAAATTCAAGTAAGGCTTCTTTTTTATTTTTTGAGTAGATAAAAATTAGGATGATAAAGCCTACTTTAAACCTTCTAATCCGAATACTATTTTTATTCTTCTGAAGTAGCTAAAAATTAGGATATAGACAAAGTAGCCTGATTTCAACCTAATAAATTGGTCTGCTTATATCCAAAAGTATTTATGGACATAGTTGAAATAAGGTCACGATTCACATAATGGATTAATTTTCCAAAAATTATATTTATTACAAATTGAATTGTTTTAAATTATTTGTTACAACCTAGTAATGAATTAAATGAAACTGCTCTTTCAAATATGAACATGGTCAATATTATAATAACTCCCATTACAGTCATACTTGTTTTAATAATACATATGATGTCAATGCTGATGGACAGCTCAATTGGAATTGAAATGAAATAAATAATTATGAATAATAATGTTTTTATTAGAATAAAATTATTCGAATCTCAAATGAAATTAGATTGAAACCAGGTAAAGTATGAAATAAAAGTAAGATGAAGCTAAGGCAAAAGAAAAAGAAAATCAGGATAAAATTAGTATGAGTTTAGAATAAAATTGAAAAATTTTCGTCCTACAGAAACGCTGATTTGTTGCGTATTCCGACTTTAACTAGGATTTGTTCATCTTAAGTTAAACCTTGAGAAAGGGTAGTCTTAGCATAAAAATAGGCGTTATATTTTGACTCGGGATGGGATACCACATTAAGCCTACATTGGTAATATGACGCTTATTATATCCCTGTTGGGACCAAGTGAGGAAAGCCTAATTAAGGCAAGTTTAGTAAATGCAAATAGGATTTAAATAAAAAAACTATGTTATGTGGTTATCTCATTTCCTAAAACTAATATACGAATCTGCATTTATTAGAAACATTTAGCAATTATTTATGTTACTGACTTTGAAAAGACAAAATTTTCAAATGAGAAAAACGAATGTCCTGTAAAAATTGTCCTGTCATTTAATCGTAGTACACTTCACAAAAATAGTAGAATTTATCTTGCAGAATGGTAAAATTATTCTTACAAGATAGGAATTTGTTAGGAAAATGATAAATTCGATCAATTATGAATATTCAATAAAATAAAAAATGTATTGTAAACCAGAAAATAAATATTTTGAAATAAATCAATTTTTAAAGCATCTTTCATTTGCTTATTTATCCCTCTCTATGTCCTCTGTAACTTGAAGCTTTTCAATAGAACAATACGAATAGTCTCCACGTGTCTTGTTTCCCAAGCGATATTGCAATGCATTCCGACTCTTCCACGCTTCAGGATCCAGAACTAGAAGCTTGTATTTCATCGACACGGGTATTTAAATTCTTTCTTTCACTTTCCTCACAATTTCTTCACACATATAAACTTTTTTTCTAAAGGTATAGGTACAAAAGTCTTTGGCAATTCTACGCTCAGCATCAAGTCATATTACATTTTGAAATTCCTTTTTGGCTTTGAATGATAAATTCTCGTATATCACGCCAGGATATATTCGTTTTCGTCAACAGCATGGTATGTAGAGAGGAATAAAGAGAAAAGAGTGAAGTAGTTTGTGACATGAAGCGTGTTCGATGCTAGAGTGAGAGACAGATAGTCTGCTACCCCACACAGAATTAACATGAAAGTCAAGCTGCAGGGGAGACTCCCTTAAATCTTAACCTATCGCCTCGTAAACCGTCCAGATACTACTAGCGTGTACGTCGTGACTGCACAGGGTTACATCTCCGCTTCCCTTCCAATCGAAATCGATACACTGAGTCCATTCACCGCGTTCACGAGCCACTCTGACAGGCACATAAATTTCGTGGCTACCAAGATCGATGATCGTACCAATTTCTATTCTAAAGAGACAGACTGATAATTGCATACCAGAGAAATTGAGCTTAAATGGTGTGCAGTAATTATACTAGAAAATACCTTCAACAAATCCATCAATATTGTGGTGGTATTTATTGAGTAATTCGGTCCTTAAAAAAAGAATGAAAATCACAACTACATTTGTTGGAAATCTGTGTTTAATGCTGAAGGTAAGGTTTTGTTCAAGTGTATTTTAGCAGCTTTCAAGTAGAATGATCTAGAGTTAGAACGAAGATGTTCCAAGCATAGATGATCATCAAGGCTGAATTGAGAGCCATGTCAGGAATGTCTGTGATTTTGGAGAGGCTTCATCAGAAATGTAATGCCTCAAGACATAGGATCTTGATTCAATTAACCTATGAGGCTCTACTGAAATTGCCCAATCGTTGACTATCAAAGAGAATTTTATCCTATTTTTAAGTCAAACGTTCCACCAATGTCCACCATATGACATACCTCAATGAATTTTAAGTTAGTCTTGATAATTATTACTTATACCTTAATATTTTCTAGCTCGCTTTGTTACTTTCTCAGTAACATGGTTTTAGTTTTAATGATGAGAATTAGACTCACTTTGAACTTGAATCTTAATAAAACATACTCAAATGTATAACCAAATTAACCGGATCTTTGAACACTTTTTATTTATAATCAATTACATATTTTTAATGTCAAACACACGTGATTAAACGATTTTTTAATTATTTATTTGACTTTATTCAAATATACTTCACCATACAGTACTTGTTGCATATTAAGACAAAGTAATATTGTCTCCACATCCAAAGCATCTGGTCCCAATTCTGCGCCCTCAAGTCTGAATTCATCAGGTACTTTATAGTCTCCCTAGAATTCATAAATCCATCAATAAGAACACTTGGTGATTAAATATGTTCCAATTTTATCTAATGAAAAAAGTCTTACAGGCATCAGTGGACATGATGCATCTTTACTTGCTAGAATTCTTAGTGCAACATTCATAGCAGCACCACTTGGAGTTGAAGGATTGGCATCACATGATGTAATTTTTCCTTTAGTTAAACAATTACCTCCTTCATCTTGGTATTCATATTCAACCTACCAAAAGAAGCATTGATTTATTAGTTGTACAAAGCAAGACTGGTTCATTCTTAACTTCACATTAGACCATGGTCAACTAGGCTGATCTAGGGTTGGACCAGTTTTGTTTTCAACTAAAGAAAGCTAGCAATAATAGAATTCTTATCATTTTATACCTCAAATGGCTCCACGAAAAGAGGTTGCATTACTGTAATACTGTAGATGGATGATGCATCATTAGCAGTGTAACCACTTGAAGCATCAACTAACAATGATGATTGATTTTTAGACTCAAGACTATATATATCTCCGTCGTACGTTGTACACTAAATAAGTAATTGCTTTGTTATTAAATCGTATAAAACAAATATCAAATCAGTATGAGATATTAAAGCTTACTTGAGCAACAACAAAAATAGAAAAAAGGAGTAAAATGACTTTCATGATAAAAATATTAGAACAAACGATGGAAGTAATTTCAAAATTCTAACATGCAAATTTGGTGTTAGCTATACTTATAGCTGTTCCATGTGATAGCATTTGGACAGTAACTGTTATCGTTACCTCATATCGTTATAAATAATTATTTTAATAAGTTTAAACGACTAGGCAATTTTCTCATATAAAATTGATAACATTGATAAACCTTGAAATTTTAATTACTTTTGAGGTCATTTATTACCTTATTTTGTTTGTTTTTATTTTTTTTTTGCATTTAAAAGTATATAATAATATGCAATATTTAAAAAAAAGCATATTAGATTTAATTGGACTTTTCTAAATACAATAAAAATTTAAACTTTGCACATTCGGTGTTGACGATAATGAAATTAATTATGATTAATTACATAATTATATAAAAAACAATGTAAAAAGTAATAATTACTTTTTTTCTAATGAAGAGATTTGAAGGTCAAATATGACATGAATTGATGATTCTACTGACTCGTAAATCGCAACAATTAGAGCTAACGGAAGTTTGAGGCTCTGTAGAGTGTTAACTGTAATAAATAATTATTTTGATACAGTAAAATTTAATTAACGTCATGTCATATAAAAAACATTAGAAATTGTTTTATCAATATCTCTTACATGGTTTTGATGAATTTTTTCTTCCGGGTACGTGATTTCTGGGATTTTTTTTTATAAATGCGAGATTTAAATCGGTTATTTTTTTCAACTATAAATATGAGTTTACTTCCGTAAATTCAACTTTTTACTCAAATCTATTCGACTTGTTGGAGAGTAAGAGTATTTGTAAAAATGTACAAATTTTTGTCATTCTGTTTGCTCGGAATAGTTCTTGCTTTTGCTGTCGTTGTAAGTATTAAGTTGACGTATAGAATTTTAAATATTTATTTATCAATAGATAATTATTGTATATTATGTTATGTTAAGTTATGATTTGAGAGGCTTTAAAGAGACAATTCTCAAGTGATTGCGTGTGTGTTTGATGATGTATTACGCTTAACATTCTAATCACTTCGAGTGTTTGACGAAATATGATGTTGTATAAGAAGTCAAACTTCAAAATGGTTGTCCCTTGTAATTATTGAGGGAGTACAACAACAAATTGTTTAATGTTATGATTAGAATATGGTAGCATGAATTTTAGATTTTTATGATATTTATTGTGTCTAAAAATATTTTCGCAATAGAAAAATTTAAACACATTTACATTGCTTCAGAAGAAGAATAGTATATTACGACCCAAGGCTAGAAAGCTGAATTTTCCGACGTTAAAATAAACATAATATTCATGTGGATAACATCCTCAAGCCATTCGTCATCTCCTCAATAGATTAGTTTATGTTTCCGAGCCACGAAAATCTTTCAGTTAATCGAAGTACGCATTGAGTCAAGCAGGCCACAAAAGTCGTTGTTTCGGGATCGAAATGCGGCCAGGAAAGCTATACTTTCGGCCAAGGGATCAAGAAAAATAATTTTTTCCATTTTACTAATAGTTGTAGAGTCATTCATTGCAAATCCGGGAAAATTCAAATGTTTAGTAATAAAACGCTTAAAATGTTTAATAATTAAACACCTAAATGTTTACAATGTTAAACGCCATAATAAAACTATAGCATTTTTGTCAACAGCGAGAAGTGATTAAAATTCGCGTACAAAATTACAGTAGTTTATATATGGGGTTTAAGATTGTAATCACTTTAAATGTTTAGTTTCTAAACACTTAGATTTACAGTGATTGAATGTACATTGAAAGAAGAGATTTGTGATGGTGAAAAAGATTTAACTTTGATTAGGTTTTATCAGGTCGTAAAAGAAACGACAGAGGTTTTAAACAAGTTTATAAATGGTTTAATAAGGTTTCAAGCAGGTTCGTTCAAAAATTGAGTTGTTTTTTTCACTTTAATTCATTGTTTTCTAACGTTTGAATAATATTTGTTTATAATGAAATGAGTTTATAATCAATTATCTATTTAAATGCGATTAAATTATACAATTTCTGTGGATAAAAGCCTTCATGTAATTGAGTGGAATAAGAATAAAAATAGGGCTAAGAATGAGAAATACGCATGCGCACAGCCATAACAACAGAACAAAATTGATGCGCATGCGTATCCCTCATTTTTAGCCTTATTCTTATTTCGTTTAAGATTATGAATTCTTTCGTGACCTTAAATTTGTTTTTACTTCACTTTTAACACTGTAAGCTTTAATAAATTGACACGTTCAACCTGGTAAAGAAGGGCAAAATGCGTGTGAGCATGCGTACAAGCAAATTTTGTCATTCAGATAGTGCATGAGACCTTATTGCCTCTAAGCGGGTAATAAAATCTAACTTCACGTGGGAGTATGACAAAAATAAATTTTGTTTTGTATATTTATAAGTTATTTTTTTTAATGGAAACGAATCTCTTTCATGTGTATAATTCAATGATTTCCTTCATTTGTTATATAGTATCATGATAATACTAATTTTATTTGGCTAGGATGAAATGAATTGTTGGTATGGTTGGACGCAACATAACTACCTTTACTATTAAACTGACATAATTAACTAAAAATGATCCCTTACGTATTTTCAAGACCTCAGCTGAAAAGCGTACATTGTCTCTTCAAACACTGCTAATTACAGCTCACAAAATTTGTTTACAAAAAGAAGAATCCGGTAAGATAAATAAAAATTGATAAAAAAATATCGAAGCTCAGTGATATGTTCGAGTACGAATTAATTATAAAAAAACCATTTCAGCTAAACAGGAATTGTTAGGACGAAATGAAATGGATGATATGACTGAAAGTGATATCCATCGATGCCATCATGCTTGTGTCTGGGAAAACTCTGGATTGGTACAAAATATCTTATTCAATCACAATTTTTTTATCAATAATTTTCAGTAAAACAATAACATCAAATTTATCCATATTTTAGTTTTCAAACAATACCTTTGATTTAGAAAACATGATTCCTACACCACATGAATTGCCACATCGTATCAAAAGGATATTTTTTCGTACCATTCTCTACACATGTGTTGGCCACAGTAAGATTTTTCACAAATATTAACTCAGTCGATAATCATAATATTTTATCAATATTACAAGAAACTGATTTACATTAATTTATTTTGACATATCATTACTACTACTTTGATAACTCAACTGATATAAGATGCATTTAATTTAAATACTCATCACGAAAATTATTTTTATCATTAGTTAAATGAGATTTTTAATATTGATATTTAGTCATTAAGTAATCTTACTCTTTATAAATTAAAGCTTTAGAGTTTATTTATAATTATAACGTACAAATTGAATGCCCTCAACATCAATCAACTCAAAAATTCATTTTATCTACTGCAAATCTAAAAAAAATCATGACGTTTAATAATAACATACTTAAAGTGTTTAATAATAACACACTTAAGTGTTTATAATGTTGAGCACCATAAACAAACTATAGCATTCTGGTAAACGCCTAGAAACGTTTAAAATTAGTCTCCAATATACTATAGTTCGTTTATGACGTTTAACATTGTAAACACTTAAAATGTTTAGATTTTAAACACTTGAATTTGCAGTGATTGTGATGATTTTTTTTGCAGGTTATGAAATTGAGGACGAATGTGAGAAAGCTTCCACCTTTATGAGGTGCATTATTACTCTTGCTCAACATAAACCATTGCAAATACAGAAGAAGTAGATGTTAGGACAATGGAAATTTATGCTCGAAACATTTGTTGACAATATAAAACATTTTTGAATAATTTGCAGGAATATTTTACCTTTAAAGAGAAACAATTTGTAACTTTAACTAAATTCAGAATTCATAAATAAAAGAAAATTTTTATAATCAATTCAAAACATAAGATTCATCTTTCCTTAAGTCTCTAGAACCAATTTTCCCATCATTATGTAAAAGTATAAATATACCAATTTTCTTATGATTATGTGAAAGTATAAATTTAAATGAAAAAAACGTAAGACTTTTGTTAATAGCATAGTCATTATAATGAAAAGAAATTCTAAAAGAATAAAAATATGACAAACGAAATTCATTTTAATTTTTTTTCATTTTATTATTTTACCTTACATTATTCCATTCATCATACTTTTTTCCATTATCATTTCACAGAACTACGAGTCTCATTATCGATACTCTTATTAGAGTCTCTTGATAAATGAAACTACTTCCCATAAACGGGCGTTTCTTTGATCATCTTCTGATGTTCTATTTTTTCCCCTTGCGACAACCATTCAACCTTCTGGTCTGTATAGACTCTTTGGTCAGGGATAAATCTAATGCGTCCGGACGGGAATAAATTTTCAATTAATTATTTATCGACAAGACAAACGATCAATGTATTGATTTAGAAAAACAAAAAGTAAATGTATTCAAGAGATATGAAGTTGGAAAGTTTTCAGGAAGCCAGATTTTCAATTATGTTCAGTGAAATATTCTACGAATAGTCAGCCAGATTTTTTTGTTCAGGAAAAATAAAATGGTAGATTTATTTACAACTTTTTTTTTTATTGGACCTTCATCAAATATGAAATAAAAAAATAAATTAAACGATTAAGTTAATTAATCGTGATCGTAATGAGTCAATTGAATAATTATTCAAATTTTAAAACCCAAGAGTCAAGTATTTATTGGGTAATTGAAATAAATGCCGAATAAAATATTCAGTACATAATCAACTCGAGATTATTTATTAATCCTTGAAATCGTAAATTTTTGAGTGGAAGTTAATGAGAGTTTGAATTGTATTGATTTCGCTCATCCATAAGAATATTCACTAGATCAAAATCAAGTCTCCATCAAAGTTCTATTGAAAATTCCAGTGACATTCACAAGCAAGGATGATCTAGCGAAGAACCTAGCTCTAATGGCCATTAAAAGTTGTTATGTCTTTAGCTATGTTTGGTAAAAATCTGAAATACAGGAAAGTTAAAGAAAAATTTTAAAAAAACAGTATAATTATTGACTGACACAGTGGTCAACACCCTATCAGGCATAGCCAAGTTTTTCTTTCAAAGTATACCTTCGATCTTGAACAACATGTTCAACTTGAGAACTTACGCAGAAGAATTTGCTTAAGAGTCTTGCTCAACGAGATAAAGAGACCCGAAGGGTAAGAGACTTAAAATCAATACTCCCAAAGCCCCTGAACTCATAAGTTTAAAAATTTCTTTCTCTGCATTGTTACTTATTTCTATTTTATTTTTGTTCTTTCAAAATGAAGCAAAATTTTTTATTCAACTTTAAAGACATGGAAATATATATGTAAATTCACCAGTGAAATATCTATCCTATGTTTTTATTTTTCATTTACATTAAAAACTTGAAAAAAACTTTTATTATTCGTTTAAATTGCTTGCAAATTTTTTCTTTGAAAGATAAACTGAACTTTAATTTTATGAAATATATATATTTTTTTTTCTTCCTTTACAAATGAAATAGTTTTATTATGTTATTTTATCATAGCCATCAGCAACTTAACTTTAAAATTAAAAAGAAATTCAATAAATATAACAGTGATTTCCATTGAAACTGAGTTGAATTCATTGACATCCTGTAGATATTTTCATTCATGCAAGGTGACATGGTGGAACTATCAACGATGTGTCAAATTGCCAACCTGGTGGTCATTAATCGAAACCAATTCCAATGAGAGGTACTAATTTGGCGGAAAGTCGTACGAAAGAAAAATGAAATACCGAGGACAGATAAAGTGTGGTAAGTTCATGGCACTCTGGTAGCGTTTTTTTCTATGGAATACAGTTGACCACATCAGTTTAGTTTGATAATATTGGAAGCATGCGTGTTCAAATATTTCTACCATCAATATATTGATGAATACATCAATCAAACTAATGATAAATAGAAATAAAACTTATTGCAAGGAATAAAATATCAATTACTTGGTGGATTTATTTAATGAAAGATTCAACATCTTCTTCCAAGATCATTTGAAATGATTTATTCATGTGGTAGTCAAATGAATTTACAATTGTCCCAATGTTATTTCATGTTAAAATGCATTATTGACATATCAGCAGAATTATTTAAATCATCAGGGTTACTACTCTGGTCTTCATCACGTCCAGACTTCATATTATACTTTCCCAGTGCCATGTCTATCAACGAAAACGAACATCCGGAAAACATTGCATCACACCTGACGCTATCATAACCAGCACGATGGGCATTGGTGTATATTTCATGTTCTTCTGGTTCATGAGGCAATAATATTCGTTTGAGAGGCAATCTGTAACATTCAAGATTAATGCTAAAATAACATTTTAATTTTATATCTCTTGGAATTGAATTTTCAATGATCCTTTTCAAACTAAAGAATCACTGGCTATGACCCCAGAAAAATGATCAGATCTACGTTGATTAAATGATGAGATTATAGAATCATATATGATCTTCACATTGAGCAAAAGAACTACCAACGTTAATAAAATATTTTACCAAATGGTTGAAATTAATTATTCTTTTTGATTCGAAAAATATTTTATCAATTTAATTATTCATTTAATTATTTAATAACCTGAACAACTTTTAATAATTTGTTGAAAATCTTACGTGGTGATCTTAAGTAGAATGCCCAACATTACACCAAAGCCATCAGTATTTGTTTTCGCATTTATTTACAAATTTACAGTCTGAATATCATAACAGAGTTTGACTCTAAATTTTTTATCAGATGAATTCAAGAAACTGACATAAAAATACTAATAAATTGTCAGCAAAAATATAAAAGACATTATTCTTGCAGCCAGTAATTCTCATTAAGCCACGAAAACATGTGATATAAAACTTGGAAAAAAGATAGATCAACATAGATATTATCATTTTTTCCTGAGTGATTGACCCTAGATTGGTCACCTCATGAATGAAACATTGGTTCAGACTTCTTGTTATGTATAATTACTAAATAACTAGTGAGACAAATGCCAAACAACTAGACATTGTTCTTGAACATAACGAAAGAGTTCTAGACTCGTTTTTTATCTTATATTACCAAGAAATTTGAATTTAAAAAGAATCAACTTTAGTGATGACAAAATCCTGGTCTAGGCTTTACAAGGTAACTAGCAACGTTTATAGTTTTTTAACAACGTTATGAGTTATCCTTACTCTTTAATCTTTATCATTGGATCATTAAAGTATATAGCAACATCGAAGGCAAGAAACCTCATGAAGTAACCAAAGATGTTTAGGTCACAGATGATGACCAATCTAGGATTAAGCAGGAAAATGTTAGGATATTCCTGACTACGATCAAGATTGTGCTGGGCTCTACCAGGTTATATTATATTACTGTGCTTAGTTAGACTAGAATCAGATCGGTATCAGCTAAATTTCAAGAAAGCTTTATCAGGTAATCAAGAACTGTTGATTTAATTGGTTATATTTTAAAATGATCCCTAGACCTTGATGACATTCTACAGAAAAAAGTCTCATTAAATTACATAATATTGATAATGAATTGTCCCGTCTTTATTATTTTTCTCCAAGGTATTTGAGGGATCAAAAAAAAAGACTAAAGAATGATTAAAGAAAAGCTTCCCGAAAGATTCTGAAAATCGATTTTCAATGGCATCAGCTTCCAATCGTAAATAAGCAAGCTCCCAGAATTGCAGCAATTTTTAACTCTTCGACACAGAACTTAAGTTAGCCATTCCCTGGAGTCTCTCTCCTTATTGCTTTTACGAAGTGGAATAAAGAGAGAGAGTCTTTCTACCTTGTAAATCCCTTTAAACCCCTTTTTCACCCTCTCAACCTCTGTCGTTTGTCTTTGCAAGTCTTACGAGAAAGCTATCCTCATCATTTCTTCTACTAGGGTATTCCCCTTTGGCATCAATCGCTGAGACGCTTCGCAGAGCGCTCGAAGAATGCAGCTTCGACCATCGAATCCCATCCTGAAAAGAAGTAGAACATCATGTCGTTTTAGAATGTTTAAAAAATAATTTACATTAATCAAGAAGTAGAGTTTAGTATAAATTCTAAAATATTTGTTTTTAATTTATACCTCGGCTGTTTTTTATCACTCTTTCGTTTTTGTTTATCATCAAAAGAACTGGAGTTCTTAGGAAAATTACCTGCTGAACTGTAAGTTTGGAAAACTCAGTTCTAACTGAGTAAGTTAGGAAACAGATGAGGAAAAGATAGAAAGAGATGTAGTTCATTTCTCCTTGTATACCCTTCACTCTCTTTTCATCTGTTTGATTTGCTCCATCAATCAAATATAATTTTAGTTTGAGTATCTGACTCTGCCACTTTGATGTGAATTTAACTCCACAGATTGAATTTAACATTAAATCAGTGAGACTACCCTCGCAAAGTTTTCGTTAAAATTTTTTTCAATATTTCAAAATTATTTTTAATATCAAATCACATTCATAGAACTTTTCTCTCATTCCCTTGTAATTTTATTAAAAAAACATGTCGACATTGGAAAGAAACGAAAGGAAAAATCGTGCATTGAAGAAGAAATATTTTTTGAAATTTGAAGAAAAATATGCTTGAAACGATCAAGAACCTTTTGAGGGAATTTTGAAAAAAAAAGAACGAAGTAATATAAAAAAATATTTAATTTCGATTATCCTTTTTACGAACTAATCTCAATAGAATGTTAGAGATCGAAATTTTTTTTATCGATTTATGAGACCACAATAGAACATGGCATTATTCGAATGTCATTCCGTTGTCCAGATACTTGAAAACGCTCATGAAAATAGAATGAAAATTCGATAAATGCTTGTCGTCTCGGTTTCTTCGTGTTTGAAAGGTAAAAATAATCTCTGTCTAAAGTATGTATAAGAAAAATGTTAGCAATAAAAAATATTTAAATAAACGAGAATCCTTGATGGATTCATGTCAACTATTTAATGAGATTTGCAATTACGTTAATAGTGAACTCAGCGTTAACTTCGAGTTTTTTAGCGTAACTTTACCTTAAAATAACTATAAATCAACTGTAAATTAACCGTTAGAATATGCGATTTATTAACTATGAGTTTACCATTTATAAACGGTTGCTTGAGAGTTGATTATTTAATTATTATTTATTTATATCATTTATATTTATTTATATTATGTATTTTTATCGAATATCTCAAAAAATAGGGGGAAAAAAAGTGAGGTAACAGAAATCTTCGTTAGACAGTAGAGAACAAAAAATGTCTTATGAAGTATCATCGATTTTTGCATAACTGGAAAGTTATTTATGAAAATGTGTAGGTTCTAGTAGGAAAAAATTGTTTACAACAAAAAACTCGATGATGCGGACATTTTTTTGCCTGCGAATAGTTTTTTTGGAATTCTCATGTAATTTTACATAAAATAAATCTTGGTTCAAAGTGGGAGGTTAGATTTTCTATTATCCCTATTTTTAATTGCATCATTACTCGACTATTGAAATTGGTCAATTGAACATCATATCAACTTATAATGAATGTGTTAGGTTGAGAGTTGTGATTTTTTGCAACTGTTGCTTTATATTTTTAAAAAAAAAGAAAGGTTGTATTAGGGTTAAGAGTTGATTGAACGTTGCATGTCAGTTAAATAACCGTTTTTTTTTATCGCGCATTGTGACTGTTGTTTTAAAGTTAACAATTAGTTGCTTTAAATCCATCAGGTATGGGATGTGCAATTTATTTATTTAAACTGTCATCGCTGTATTTATTATTAATAAGGCAACTTTATGGATAAATATTCTACTGATGGGAAATTATTTAAAATATCACAGAATCGAATGAAGTAGTTAGGAGTTGCGCGCGCAGCATAAAGCAGTAATGCGGGTCTATGAAGTTAATTGTGGAAGTGAATCGGCTAACTTCAAGGTGTGAATTGTTATAAATAATATCAAGCAGAACAAACGTGTATACACTGCAAAGCCAATATTTTACAAGCGTGTTGAAATAATACGCATAAAGTGTGTTCAATATAAAATGATCGTAAACAAACTATACATGTTTTGTAGATATTTTTTACACGTTTTATAGTGTATGAAAAATCTATAGTTTGTTTATGGCATTCAATATCGAAGACGCTTAGTATGTGAAAAGTGTTTACAGAAATAACACACTTGGATTTACGGTGTAGAAGGTCAATACTGTGTTCGGTTTAAGGATCATCCTAGATCACCCTTACCGAGCTAAACTCCTACCTGGCTACATAAGAATACATACTAAATTTTCCGGCTACATTAGCCTATTTGAAAGAAACTTCTGTTTACGTCTCTCTTCTCTGATAGTAATTTTCTATGCATAAAATATATCATAATAAAATCTGTAATAACAATGCACTGGTAATTTGAAATACTTATATTTATTTATTAAACTTTGTAATAAATGGAAAAAAATTGCTTTAGAAACAAAAATCACTGTGAAGCGTGAGATGTTAGCTGACTGAGGACTAAAAAATTCAAAATTCGTAAAGTGACTGTATAGAAAAAAGACAATCAATGTCAGCCATATTTATATCACGATTAGTTTTAGGGCATCACCAAATTTTTGAGGTTAATTGAGCATGGAGATGTGCCAGGCGCACTTGGAATAATGTAATAATATTATTAGCACTACTATTATAATAATATGATAATATTATCTTCCTGTACATTCTATTATTCTATTAGTATTCATTTTCAACAAGCCTGTAAATTTAATTATTACAATCGCGACAAAGAAGTGTGACTTCTACCGCGCTTCTTCTATTTATGAGTACACACATCATTTATTTTTTATTTTTCATGAATTAATGATGAAATATGACGTATTAGATCAGACGAATATGCTCTATGAAGTGAATGTTATCTACAAAAAAATGTAGAAAAATTGAAATGATTATAAATTATTTTAATGGTTAAAAGAGAAGAAAATAAAACAAATTGGATTGTCTGACTTCTAAAGATCACATACATTACAAAAGAATGGAAAGATTTTCTAGTTCATATTATATCCAAATAAAAACTCTGTAGATGTTAAAAAAGAGTAAAAGTTGATTGAATTCTATTCCATTCGGAATCATTTTGGTTTAATATCAAGTTGAATAATATCTGCCATTTTTTTGACTTATCTTTAGTTTGTTTACATTACGAGAGTAATTTTTCTCGAAAAATTTATCTAGTCTTAGACTCTGTAGTTCATTGTCAATATCCGCCAAACAAACATTCATTCAATGGTCTCAATTTCTATTTATCGTTCAATCTTGGTGCAATTATAAAGAAGACGAATAAAAACGAAGTACATCATTTGAAACAAGGCATTTTCTATGTACAAAAATGCGTCGAGTTCAAAAACATCATTTTGAGACAAAAATAGTGTCTGCGTCGTAAATTTTTATCTATACACTGCAAATCCAAGTGCGTTATTCTTGTAGACATTTTTAACACGCTAAGTCGTATACACACCATGAAGTGTGTAAAAAGTGTATACAAGTTATGTATAGTTTATTGACGGACATTTTACATGAAACACAATTTATAGGTGTTATTTTAACACTTTCATGAAATCTTGGGATTTGCACTGTACAAATCAACTTTTGCTAGCCTGAAGCTACGCATTTCATTTTATATCTTTTTAGGGACACAAAATTTCAATATAGTTTACGAGTACTAATTCATTCTTTGAAGTATAAGGAATATTTTAGTCATTTTCCTTTTTTAAATTTCGATCTAGTCTTCGACAAATTAAACTGCAAATCCCAAGATTTTACAAACGTGTTAAAATAACATGCATAAAGTGTGTTCGATGTAAAAAAATGTCCATCAACAAACTATAGACGATTTGTAGACATTTTTTACTCGTTTGTGAAACAATTGGTTTATGTTTTGTTGAATCTGTTATTATTTTTTCGTCTTTGATAAACATTCATTTTTTATGGCGCTATATTTTACAATATCCACACGGTGAGAGGAATAAAATTAAAATTATCCTACTATGCAGAAAAGTCGTAGTACACTGCACAGAAAAGTAAAATTTTACATGCGAAATAGTTGATCCTGTAAGATAGTATAATTTGGCCATCCACTTCATAAAAATCCTTATCTTGCAAAGTGAATTGCGCTATTTTTGCAAAGTGTACCACGATTACATTTCACGGCCGGGTAATTTTGACTCGATTCTTCTTTTCATGTAAGATATACAGTATGAAGTTCAAAAATCCTAATTGACTAGTAACATAACTGTACATGAAACTGATTCGTTATCTAAGAAAAACTTCCACTTTTGAGGTTTATTTTTTCCTCATTACAACAAGAAGTAGAGAAGATATACTCACGCGTTCATGATAACCTCGAGCTTGTTATAAAGTTCTCGACGATGTCGACGTTTAAAGTAGTCAAGATCCGATTTCCGATAATAGTACTTCTTTCGATTGTCAAGTGTATTGTAGTATCCTTTCTTATTCCAATACTTGAATGAATTTTCATTCTTAGCCCATTGGCCTGTGTTCTTCTTGTTGTACCAATCTTTCTTAGAGGTTATGTGGTCTTTTCGGAGTTGAAGAAGCGGCTCAAGTGCTGGTTTACTCTCATTCGGAAGATCATAAGAAATTCCCCAATTTACTCCTTCAGTAAAAATATTATCTGGAGTAAGTGTGTGGACTGTCATACACAATGCGATCTGAAAGAATAGATTTGCTAGAATACAAGTGCACTAAATCGGCTCAAGAGGGTGCTTTAGATCTATAATGGCGTCCATTGAACGTATTAACGATTTCTGATATTCTAAAGTATGGAAGCTAAACATCGAAAAGTTTCAACTTAAATTACTACATTTTCAACTTTCTGTTAGAAAGTTATTGTAATAAAATCAATATCAGAAATTCAGAATCTAGTCACATCTTCATGTTTCGGAACACTTGAAATGCATCTAGAGATATCAGTAGGATTTGATCCTACCTATGTTAAAATATGTAGCTTTAAGTCAATATTTTTGTCATAATCATGACTTTATATATTGTAAAATATAAGTGGAGGACAACAAATATTAAAAGGAAAGTTTATTAAAATAACAGATTCGAATACAGAATCAAAGATATGACGTCTAGTCAAAAGGTGAAGGCTGTTATTATCCCTTTTTATAATATCCGCGGTCAAAATATCCTAGGAAAATATCCTTTTATATAATATTCCCTAATAATACATTTTTGTTTGAAAAAAAACTATTTCTAAGAATCTTTAGAAATTTTAAATATGTTAGAATAATTAAATTCTTTTATAGAATTGATAATAAAATAAATTGTAATTCAAAATTAATAATTTTTACTCCTGTAGTAAATAAATAAGTGGCAAATTAGAACTGTGGTGGTGCTTGTGGGGAGGGGAGGGGGTTTAAGTTTAAAACTGAATGTTTTCATCTAATAAGAGTGTATTTCAAAAGGATATTTTTCTAGGATGTTTTGACTGCAGATATTACAAAAAAGGATATAAACAGAGGTAATCTAATCAAAGCTAGTCTCAGTCCTAAACATAAATAAACAAATTCTCCCATCGTTGCTATAAACAATCTAATTGTCAAGCAATCGTCGTCAATTAACAAACTGTCGCTAGTCAATCAATTCATAGATAGAAACATGCATATATTTTACAATATTATACGACTAGTATACGAGATTTCCTTTTCAGGTTATGGACTAAACACACTTTAATAAGATTAAAAATAAGAAATTCAATCAATATAAATTTTCTACAAGAGTATTAAACTTTTTCAATGAAATTAATTGATTGTAATAAAAAAAAGTTGACAGATCTAGAACTAATGTCAATTGGTTGAGTGTAGAAAAAGAAAATTACTCACAGAAAAGCTCGAGCCTTCAGGAAAAACGACATAACGTTTTCTTCTAGACAATGATCTTTCTTCTGTCTGAACAAGATTTGTCGCACACAATACGTAGACGAAAATACATAATGTAAGTTTGTTGAGACTTATCCACATCTTTTTTATGCTTCTATTCGAATAACCAATGCTTAAAATTCCTGGAATTAATTTCGTATGACCCAATTATTGATTTATTCTACTAGAAAAATAAATGATTTAACTTTTATTTGTGACAGTTTACAATTTTTTTTAACTAATGCATACTTGACTTAGTTTTTTAGCACAGTTGTTGACCTCATCAACTGATATTTCGATGTTGTATATTCCGTATTTCAACACACTGGTGACGGAATAAATGACACTGTAGCAAACTATTAAAAAGCAATATTGCAAAGTTTACGGAATGATTTTTGTTATTCTCGTTTCATTTTATTATAAATTGAAACTGTTGAGTTACGTATAATTCATTATAATTAAAAATATGCATCTCTAACTTTTAGAACTTTTGATAGTCTATTTAACTTCATCATGAAAAAATAACAAGTGGAATATACCACTTGTATACATTTTTAGTTACAATTCCAAAAAACAATGTGGTCCAATACGACCTGAAAGGTTCACATGATTGAATGTTCTGTAATATTCAACTACTCCAACAATATTCAATTGCTGTTAATAATGTTCGATTGTTTTTATCAAGTTGTACTTCTGTTGAAAGTATATGCGATACTATTTTGCATTAAAAAATTCAGGTATATTACAATATAGATAATAAATTATCAAATTTACTTGAAATTATGAATTGTTAAGATGTAGCTACTCTATACCATTGACATATCAAAATTACGCTGACATAAATATTCGTACATTTCTGCTTCAAGACTGAGTGCAACTCCCCTACTTATTTTTCTCAAGCGTAGTAATATTTTTGCGAGGAACTACTTTTATATTTTAATAATGTTCAGTTAGTCGATAAAAAACCTTCACCGGAGTAGAATTAGAAATTTAGAGTTTTCTCGATTCATTATGAAAGATTAGAATTTTAATATCGTTAAGAAGTTAAGAATATTCGATTACAAATAGAAGTGATTGAAATAATATATCACTGTGAACTATAATAATCTCTAGTGTTAAACACTAAGTGTAATAAAGTTTTGAGAGTGACAATAAATTCATGAATATTCAAACAAACTCGTCTGTGCAAAAATTGACTGAAATCCTGAATCCTATCCATGGTATGACAGAAAGTATTAAGACTTTTCAATGTGGAGTGTAAAACAGTTTTTATGGTACTTTATATATACTTTTCAATGTTACGCACTTTCGAGAAAGATGCGCCACCTGTTGACGCTCGGCTGAAGCTTGATGTCTGCAGATAGCCACGTCTTAACAATCACACATTTTTACCATAATAAATTCTTTTGTTTGATAAATCTAGTGAACATATGTGTGGGTGATTACAAGGACATCTCTAGATAAATTATAATTTGTCACTCTATTTATAATACTCTTCCTATTCGATTAAAACTTTTTATAATTCTATTTTATTAACTATTCAAATCTGACTTGTTTTCTTTACACATGACTTTTTTTTCTTTTTCTTTTTCTTTACCTTTGCCAACACTATTTATTCACTATAAGAGTAATAAAAACAATTCAACATGTAATTAAAATAAACAAAAAATGGATTAAGATGGCTTACTTTAAAAATTTTATAAATAATAAAAAATATAATTTTTATCCTGTTAATAAAACTCAACTTCTTTTATTTTTATAGATTAGTAAAATCCTTGAAAAAATTTTCATGTCCTAGTTACCTTTATATTTTAATAAACTATTATTTTTTATTATTATTGATATAAAATATGAAAATGTTGTTTTATGATTTTTTTACGCTATCATACTTAATATTACTTGTTAATTGGAAAGAATAATTATTTAGCTATACATAGATGTAAATGATATATAAATTTTATGATTGAATATGAAAAGAAATGATAAAATAACTTATTCGATTATTGATTTAATTCATTTGGGTGATTGGTTTCCTGCTTAGTGAACAGTACGTGATAAAATGATATTTATACATTTTAAATGGAAAGAGAATTGATATTTTCAGTCGAGGGAAGTAATGATTTTTTTTATATCAATTCATATCTTAAGAATTTGATGCGAATCATTTGAAAGTAATAGACGTGACTAAATGGCGGTGTTTATAAATTTTTTTATGAGGGAAGATGAGATAGAAATTTATGATAGCCATTGTGTTACCCCTGAAGGCACAACAGAAGAGTAGAAAATGAATGAGGAAAGTATTTCAGTGGCGTACGGTCGCGTCACAGTAGATGGAACTTCCTGCGGCAGACGGAAGATCGATTCCTAGCTGGGTGGAAATATCTCGTAACTCACTTCGGTAAGCTCTTTAGGAAACAGGAAATTGTTAGTTCTAGAGTGAAACTGGCGAGAAAATGATCGATTGACATGATTACACGATACTTTAATGTTCAGAGGTCAAAAGTATCAAACAATCTCTAAGTTCATTTGATATGTTTTACTCTCAGTAATTAACTGAATTATGTTTCCCGGATGTTCTTGCAATGATTTCTTTAACCATCTCTTATCTCACAGGAATATTCGAATATTAAATGTTCATCTAAATGAAAGACGTGTGACACGTTACTAAAAATTACAGAAGACAGAAAAAGAGTTTAATCGTAATTCTTATGCAAATGAAGATAAAAAAGATGCAATCAGAATCTTTTCCTAGCCATTTTCATTGGTTTTCTTTTTTTCTAGAAAAGAAGAGCTTTTTTCTCTCCAATTCATCTTCTTCCCGAAAGATGTACTAAATTTTTTTATTACCTTGTTCTATTTATATAAATACACTTTTTCAGTCTACTTTCTATGACTGTTGGAATAACTTTTTTGTCTCAGAATAAATTTAACGGAGAATAAAAATGATTTGATTCCATGGAATATGTTAAGAAGAGTTAAATAATCTTTTTAAGTATGAAGTACTTTTTCAAACCAAAAAAAGAATCTCTTTAATAATCTGCATTACTTTAACAAAATTTAATATCCGTATTTAACAAAAGTTATTTATCATTTTTAAAAAATTTTTATGATAAATTTTCAATTTTGATTATAAATAATCCCAATGTAAGGAATTTCAAGTAATATTCAAGCAATACATAGCAGTAAATAGCGATAAGAATATTTATTTTATGAAAAATGATTTTTCTGATAAACCATCAAGTATCGACATTCAATATAAAACTTATACGGATATGACATTCAACAAAAATGTATAGAAGAAAATGGATTTATGAGTTAAAGTACCATCGAAAATGGTTGAGTATGCATTTAATTTAAAATTTTAAAAAATCGCTGAAGGAATAAAAATTATTAAGACATATAAAAAAATTTTTAAGTCCATACATAATCATAATTATATTAATGCATATTTTTTGTTCCTCATAAAAAAGAATTATATAACAAGCTGTGAAAAGTTACTCAAATGAATATGCATGGGGAATAAAATACTAAAGTTTGCTAAAAAATTAACTGAGAGATAAATAATATAATAGAGGTGTCAAGAACTTACCTGAAATTTGAATATAATATTTAATAATTTTTCTACTGTTTTTTATGATTGTTTTAAACTTTTATTTTTTATGTTGTAATAACGAATTTGAATGTTGAATGCATCAACACAAGAGACGAAGAAGAGGAATATGAGTAGGTATACGACGCTTAATCTCTCCAACGTACGATATTATCAGACACATTAACATCCAACCGTGGTATGCAGCACCTTTCCTCTACTCTTCATCCCTACACATTCAAGCTATTTACTTAACAATTAGCAGGTTTCATAGGTTCGTTGGAACACCAGAGTAAATACCAATCTTGAATCCAAATGTGATGACTCATTGTATACACCTATCAGTAGTTTTGATGAAAATTAAGATGAGAATTTATTTCTATTAATTGCCAATTAATTAGGACATTTTTAAAATTATTAATGGCTCAAAAAAATACTAATGTTAATGCGAAAGATATTTAGAGACTAATAAAGATTGAATTTTATAAACTACTGCAAAGAAAAAGACGTGCAGATACACGAAAAATATTTACTTATATTTTATTATGCTCATAGTATGTTTTGATGTTTCTTATTTTAATGAATCAGCAATATACATTACAAGACATCATCATCATTTGTCTTACCTTGGGGCATAACAATGACAAGAAAGAAAGACAAAACATTCACGTATGAAAAGCTGACGGTCTGTTTTGAACCGTGGAATAAATTATTTGCTTATTGTTGAGTTGGATATGAACAAGAACAGTTTGAATAAATATTAATTATGGTGAATTTGTTATTGTTATTGTTTGTGGAACCTTACAAGCAACGTGACATGACAAAATATAATGCAGGATAATAATTTTTCGATTTAAAAATCATTTACTGTTGCTGTTTTTGACAGTAATCAATACAGTCGATCTTCTTTAAATTTTACTTATTATAATTGCTCCGCTGTTTTTGTACAGACACGCTTTCGAAAAAAGCAACCAAGATTCAATTAAAACTGCAAACCCCAAGATTTTACAAACGTGTTGAAAAAATATGCATAAAGTGTGTTCAATGTAAAATGTCCACAAACAAACTATATATCATTTTTAGACATTTTTCAAAATCGTTTTTTCTGGCATTTAGAGACATGAAACTCTGCGAAGTATTAATTAAAAAAAAAACAATTAAAGGAAAATAAATCTAAAAAGGTTGATTTTTCGATTTTTTATGCTCAAAAGTCCAAGTGACTGTGAAAGTGTATAATTACCACACTTTCTACAAACTTCATAGTGTGTAGAAGACTTAGCGTGTTAAAAGTGTTTACAAGAATGACACACTTGAATTTACAGTATAAAGAAATCGGTGACGGCTGTTATTATCCCTTTTTATAATGTCCGCGGTCAAAATATCCTTCCTTGAAAATATCCTTTTATATAATATTCCCTAATAATACATTTTTGTTTAATAAAAAACTATTTCTGAGAATCTTCAGAAATTTTAAATATGTTAGAATAATTAAATTCTTTTATAGAATTGATAATAAAATAAATTGTGATTCAAAATTAATTATTTTTACGAAATCTTCAATTACAACTTCCGATGTTAAAATTCGAATTATAACACTATAAACTAAAGTGTGTTGAAAATGAACACTTATAAATGTGTTCAATGTTATATTAACTACCATAAACAAAGGATAGAAACCTTGTAATCGTTTTGTATATACTTCAAGGCGTGCTTAAATCTATAGTTTGTTTATAGCATTTAACATTCAACACGTTTATGTGTGTTTATTGTAACACACTTCGATTTACAGTGAAGCACATCACTCTACATAATATTTAATATAATATGTAAGCCAATTTTTAACTTCAACTTTATTGCTACGTCCACTTCAATAAAGTTGAAATTAAAAATGGATCTTTGAAAATTTAGTCTGCAGCTCAGAAATGCATTAATACCATACGAAGTCCTATTTATTGAAACTCATGACTTATGAATATAATTAAATATTTATAATATTTTTTTTATAAAATTATAGAGATTAGAATTCAATATCGATAATAACAAAAAAAAATTAAATTACCGTAACAGATACCAAAAAACAATAATTAAAGAATACAAAATTAAATCGACCAATCAGAAAAGCGTAACTATTTTATTCGTGCGTTGATTGGTCAATTTTATTTTTAAATTTTCGAAATAAATAAAAATTAAATAATGTTTTACGTTGTTGACTTGAGACAGCTCGCAGTGTATTTCTAGTGAAATTAAATTATAAAAAGCAATTGGAACATTAAAGAAATTAAAGATATTGAAGTTAAAACTGAAAACCGCTAACGTTTAGTGGAATTCAACTGCAGTCTATAGTACATATATTCTGATCACAAAAGTCATTAATTTTTAGATCCATTTTATTATAGTCTAGCACAGTTTTTTTCGAGTCAAATTTTTTTTCGTGTTAAGGAAAATACTTCTTATGAAACCAAAACAATCTTTACCAATCGATATCCTGCATAACAATTGAAACTAACTTGAATTATATTTACAGTCATCAATATTAAATTAATAATTCAAATATTATAACTGTTGACAATTCATTGTTGATAAACTCTAAAGAAATATTGGTATCGTATGACATTTAGTGTTATTAAAAGTCATAAAGCTGACGAAAAATAAGTTTATTCACATCCATTTTTGAGCAGTGAATCGGATATTGTAGAAAGATAGTTACGAAAGTGCTATCGAAATGCCTTTGCATTATTTCTTCCAAGAACTAAATCCATGAGGGAGCATAACCACGAGATGTAGTCATTTCTCTATTGTCTCGAGTGGTGGTTAACCGTAAATCCCTTGTGACTCAAACCTCGACCTAATTTTTCTCTTTATATTTCTCTCTACTGGGAGCACCTTTCAACAATTTTTCTTCCTCACTCATTGGATAAAATATTTGCCATCATATTATCATATAAAAAAGATCAAAGTGGAGATGATTAAAAAAGTTGAGAAAATACTCTAGTGTCATTAAACTTTTATTTTTCGGCTTAAAATCGATGAAAATATTACATCTTTTATTTTTAATTTATATTTAAACGTTGATTAAAAAATATTTTTGTCTATTTTCAATCTTAATTATTAAAAATATTGTAAGGTTTATTAAAAATAAATAATTTACACTAAAGTTATGTTAATGAGAATTTAATAATAAATGTAGGAGTGATACAGGACATTTGTAAATATTACCACAATTTCCACGAGTTTTATATGCAAAATCATAAGAATCCAGGTGTTTCATATTTTCTTCATGGCTGTGTAAAAAAAACTTGGATACAAAGAAGATGAAAAATTTCCGAATTAAATTGATCTTCATTCTTCAATCTCAAAGATTCGAAGCTAAAGAAATATAAATTTTACCTTAATATTACACGCAATAAATCATCGATGAAAGAAATTCCTGGTGGATGTAAGAAGGTTTTCGCTTCACAAATCGTCCTCAGTACGCAATTTTTTCCCGGCAAACCAAGTCTATAAAAACGAATTGAATTTATTATTATTTCTACAATCTTGCTTTTTTACATCAATTAAAGTCTCAAATCCAATTGATAGTTTCCATTATCATTAGTTATAATTATGTAAAATTACATGACAATAAAATAATGCAAAAGTGAATTTAATTGGTAACTGTTGTTAAGTAAATAGCATACATTTCAATCAATAGTAGTTTCGCTTTGAAGTAATACAGATAGAATAATACCGTGAATACTTGTGTTAACTTGCTTTGTTCAACAATAAAGCTTAACAGATTTATCAAATGGAATGATTCGTTAACATAATTCTTAATTATAATGTTGATTTTAAATCAACAAAGTACCCTGATAATTAGCATAAATAATCATTTTAATATAAAAAAGAAAAATGACCGTTATTTTACCTGCTAAGAGCTGCTTCAAACGTATCATAAAAATCTCTCTTGTGTCTACGTAACTTGTAATAATTTTTTTTTATCATTTTTTTATTATTCTTTTTTCTTTCCTTGTTTTTATTCTTTTCGTCCTGTGGGATTGGCCAGATCATATCGAATTCCAGATCTAAGTTCCAGTTTGTTGGTTCTTTCACTTGAATCGCTTTCAGTCCAGTTAGAGTTAGCTTTAAAGACATTATGAAGGGTCATAAGGCACGTAAAATATCTTTCCTTTTATTTATTGTTTCTGCTCTTATTTAATGGCTTGTGAGAAGTCAATTTACAGAAAATCCTTTGGCTCGAAAGAATTTATTTAATTTTTCTATCATCAAAATAACTATTAATGTATCATCTAATTACACTTGATTCCAAAGTTTAGAAGTTGATAGAAATAAAAATAAAATAATCATTAAGTGATTGAGGAATTGATCAGTTCTACTTTTTAATAAGTTAACTGATTGAAATAACTTTAAATAAAGTAATGAAATAGATTGAATTGGTTCAAGCAATTTAATTTAGCCAATATGTTTCCAACCCGAAATGAAGTCATGTAAGATAACATAAATATCATGATGAAATCAAAAACATCTTATAGTTGAGTTACCACAAAACTGGTGCTCTTGGGAAGAACCAGGTGTCGTTTTTTTCTGTCTAAGACTTTCGTAAAGTTGTCTTGAGGTGTCATAGTATCTAGAGGACACTCAGAGTTGCTAAGAGTCAACTGCAGAATCCCAAGAAAACTTGCTGCAATAAGTAACGAACGTTCGAGACTCATGACGAGCAATTGGAACGAGGAAAAAGTTAAAAAGTCTGGTTCAATAGTAACACTGGTGGAGGTAGGGCTGAGAACCTGCTCAACAGCCGTTACTTCAAGTGCTAGTAGCTTGTTTGACGTGCGAGTTATCGAACTTGAGACACGTGATGAGAACTAACGTAAATCGAGTATGGGCTTTTATGCTCTTGAAGCGAACTGCTGAATATCATTGACTTTTACTCTGGCTTTTCATCAGAATTACACTTTGATTTATTAGCACTTAAAATTACCGTTTATTATTTCATTAATTTGTTAATGCTTCCATTATAATATTCAATCAATCAATATTTGACTTTTTATATTCCAACCAAAATTGCATCATTTCGGATTAAATATTCATCCAGAATTCAATGATGAGTAATGTGAGTAATTAAAAATTTAAATTTGAATATGAATTAGTGACCTATATGAAAACCTACCTGACTATCTTTTGATGTACTCAGGTCTTGGGCAGGAGTAAATGAAATTCAATTTAAAGGAGTTTATCAACAAGAGTTTAGGTAACACTTAGTTGAAAAGATTTTGTTGAAACTTTTCTCATTCTTTTTTTCATTAGTCACCTAGCCATAAACTTCTATAAAGTAATTCGTGCAATTTAAGGACCATTTTGATCTCAGATAATATTTTATTCAATGGTTCTTAATCAAATCTTATAAGGGTCCTAGTAAGATTGGTGATATATGCAGAGTGCATAGCAAGTATTCTGTTTCTAAAGGTTCATAAACCATACAATAGTAATTAAATAAATTTTCAGATTAATCTGCTTCATCTTTAAAGGTCCACTTCCAAAAACCTTAGTGGTTACTTTCACTGCTTTGAGTGCTCTTCAGGCATATCTATAGCTATTGTAAGAGTAAATAAAAGAGACACTGAGCCTATGTTAGATCTTCTATAAATGTCTCTTTCTTTTCTAAGAAAAGTCCAAGTTTGCCCCTGAACTGGACGTCGTGAATAAACTCAAGGCTAACAAAACCCCAGACCTCAATTTTTGAAGGTGACAGTTCTTTTTAGAACTCATTAAGGTGCCTAACACCTAGATCTAGTTTCACTACCAGCTTTTTTATCACAAAATGTTACATTAAGCAGCATAAAAGAGAATCATTTTTGAATGCAATTAAAAATCAATTACTTAAATAAAATACAAGAAGTGAGAATTTTTTATTTTCTATAAAAAAAGTTAACTGTTATCTTTTTTTTTAATCAGATAAATACTACACAAAGTTCTAACGATAACTGCAGTATTATAGATGTTATTTTTTACTTTAAAACAAACTTTCGCTTTTTCTTCATTCTGACAAACGATTGGAATAAAAGCATAGCAGAAATGGCGGCTTTTTTTTATGGTAAACGCATTTTACTCTGGACGTTGAATAGCACATGTTGATGTTGACGACAAGTTCCCTAGACTTTAGAAAATTGTACGAATGCATACAAGTCGTAGATACAACTTTAATGCTAGATGACATCTCTTGGATGGTATATATTATGGATCACGTAACGTACTACTTCGGTGTGTAGATATAATGCGCTCGGTTACAGGAGGAATTCATTTACTGTAGAAAGAAAAAGGGCGAGAGAAACAGAAGAACGGAGTGAAAAATATAGTTATAGTTATGTATGTATATATAATAAAAGAATAAAAATGTGAAGACGAGAATGATAAAGTAGGCATGCGCTTATTAATAAATTCCATAAGGTTACTCTCTCGAGTAGTGTAGGTGTCTCATAAATTTATCATCTCACGAGGTTGAATCCTTGGTGAATTTAACTGTGAGCATATCGATGTTGAATTATCGTTTATCCCACGAGGAAAAAAACTTTTCCCATCATCTCGTATTTTGTACTTTTTGACCATTATTCTCAAATTCAGATAATCAAATACTAATTAGTTAGAAAATAAGGTTAATTGAGTTTATTTTATAATGTATTTCATTCTATTCAACTGATTGAATAATATTTTTTTTTTATACCCTGGTCGAAAGTACGTGCTTTCGGCTTTAATTTTGAAGCAGAAAGCCTAACATTTATGCTTCGCTAGAAATACTTGCGCGCCATCTACAACAGTGAGCCGGAAGAAGCTAACAGCGGAACGAACGAGTTTTCTCGTGCACACTGATACGTGAAACTGCCGCCAGTCAGTAGTAGCTAACAACTGTGATTGCATATAACCTCAAAAGTTATCAGTCTTTTTTTTAATGAAGTTGTAGTTGTTATTTAATGATACAAAAGAGGAATGACAAATTATTATCAACTGATGAATCTATGAACGAAGATGAGATTTTAATGCAGAGGCTCAATCAATTATTGAGTCAGACATGTTACCAAAGAAATCGGGAGATCGGTACACATTAAACTACGAAGCCTATAAAAAATGGCAAGAGAATCATAAAAATTCTTTGTCCAAATCGGAAGAAAGCAATTTAGTCGTTTATTTTAAATAATTGAGTGCAAGATTACAACCGACAATTTTGTGGAATATTTGGTCAATGTTGAAGAAAACATTATATGTAAAAGAAAGTATTGATATTAGTAAATTCCAAAGTTTAAAGTGTCTCATTAAAAATAATTCCAAAGGTTACAAACCAAAAAATCTTTAATTTTAAAATGGGATGAAATTATGAATTTCATTAGCGATGCACCAGACAAAATACATTTAATTACGAAGGTTTGTATTAACATTCATTTATATCAATCACTCAATTGATTGATATGTACAATTAAAAAAGTCATTCTATTCGTTTTTTTAATGAATTGATAAGGCATAAATTTTTTTAAATGCTATACATATAATTTTTTTCCGTACTTTCGACCGGCTATGAAGAAAAATAGTATACGCCACACGGGCAGAAGTTTGGAAGCTCTAAACTGCGCGACATGATGCCCTCGGCTTCGCCCGGCACGCAGTGCAGGAACTTCAACTTTCTGCCCTTGTAGTGTAATATACTATATTTATCAAAAAGCTACAAAATAGTGTCTAAAAATAACAACATTAACTTATATTGTATGTTTTTGAAAATGAGAATAGGACGAGTTATTGATGGTTGCTGTCAACAAATTATTATAATAATAATCATGATTCAACAGATGTGAATAATAAGTATTTAAGACATAGTTGAGGTTAACATTATATGTTCCTTAATAGAAGAATTATTCATCGACTGACAATGTAACATAAAATTGGAACTACCTTGTTTCTCAGAGTGACCGGTCTACATCTTTGATGATTAATTCAATAGTTTCTATACAGGAAGATAGAACGTGATTGAACAAAAATGGATTTCTTTATTAACGCATATATCTTAAAAGTATACAGTCGAATCTCGTTATAATTGACCACGCGGGCAGATCAACATTCATTATAATGGACTTCTCCTCCATCCTCACTCCTGCTTAAACACACTAGTGTCATCATAAACGTTATTGGCCAAATAAAGAATTAGGTGGGGATAGAGGAAGTCTATTATAACGAGAGAGTCCAGTCAATTATTAGTAGAATCTTTTTGTGAATAAAAAAAAAACTTCAAAAAAAATTCCAAATTCAGCGCGTTCAAAAATAAAAAATAGGTCCGGGCACACTTTGTCTGTGCTAACACGACGAACTTTCCATTAGTAATTGTTTATAACAAATTTAAATAGTTGTAATCAATGTTCGTTGAAAACATCCAAATACATGTGATATACACGTTACTTATTCAATAAATACAATTTTTAATTGTTCATAACAAATTCATATTGTTATTGTTTGGCTTAAAAGTATTTTAAATAGCTAATCTTTTCATTTTTTTTCTTAGTTATTTTGTTATAAAAAAAAACGGCTTGATCGAATTCGTTCAAATTTCTTTCAGGTCTTCTTTATAATAATATTTTTCGAATTAATTTTGGTTCAAGTTGATATCTTGATCCGTTCTTACGATATCTAAAACGAAAAAAATGCTGACGTCCGTACATACATACATACATACATACGTACATACATAATACATTTCTAATTATGGGAACTAATAGATTCATCATTTCTATCCGAACTTTCGGAAATAATTGGATGTTGAGGCACTTTCTGTTTTACGTCATTTCAACCTTTAAGCATCACTTTTCTGTCTTTTCTCTTATTCGATGCAGTTCTGAATAGAGTCGGCCGCTCTTTTCCAGAAATTCTGCACAACATTGGATTTCGCCTTCCACAGCAAGTAACTGACATTTTATCACCTGATATTTTTCCCGGTAATATGTTCTCTATAATGTAATTTTGTATAGAATTTGAAGCTTCTGATAAATTGAGTTCAGGTGATGATGATCTACTCAGAGGTAATGGAGCTATTTTATTATTTATAAAAAACGACATAGAACGTGCGAAACACTTGTAAAAATAATGATTGTGTGTTGAATATAAACTATCAGCGTATTCCATTAGTTGATAAAATATAATTTGTGTTTTGTAATTTATCCAATGTAGCATTTACTTGAAGTTATGGGTATGCGTCGTTGTATGTAACTTTATTAACTGAGAGACCAGGTAGGCTCGCAAGAGCCGATCGGGAGATAGCTAAGCGGATGGTGACATACGATCGGCTTAAATGGGCACCTTCGATCCCTACATAAGTCCGGACACAGATGAAGTTTATCTTGTCCGGTTGCAAATAGGCAGTGAGCGTTTACGACGCAGCCTGATACTAATTAACCGGTTCTGTCGAGCTAAAGGCTATATGCCCATCTCTTTTATTTACAAAACACTGGAGCGGCTGGGGGACTTCTACCTTGAAGAGAATTGTGCATCAATCCCTTGTAAGCAGTCCAACACCCCTATCAAAGTTGCAAGTCTGTAGAGATTGCCGTCCACGACCTTGTAAGGGAGCTAAAAAGAGCCTTGAAGATGGGCAGATTGGAACTCAGCGTCTTTTTAGATATAGAGGAAACGTTCGACAATACACCCTTCGAAACCATGGGTGAGGCAGTTCGGGACACTGGAACAGATGCTAGCACAATGGATCAAGAATTAACTCCCTAATAGAATGGCGATTGCCTAATTCGGGGGTACATAGGTTCGAGCTGCAGTAGCCAGACACTGTCCACAGGGTGGTGTCATATCACTCTTGTTGAGGATCGTTCTTATAGACGAACTCCACACATTAAAAAAAAAAACTTTTTAATCTGAACAAAAATGGCAATGGAAAAAGTACAATGTGGCCACAAAAAAGTTACGCTGGGGCCTCGTTAAATCTACGTCCACCATAAATTTTCTCAAGGCGAAACCTCAAGAAAATTCCCGCCCCAATTCAAAACTTATCTAAATTTTATGGCCCAGGATTCTATGGCGGATACGTTACAAAGTAATTTCTCTAGACACAAATTAAAATCCAATTCCAACTTCATTATATAAACAATTTACAACATATATTTATTCTATTCGAGATTTCCAATTGCTAATAACTCTTCGAGGGAAGCCTTCAACCTTGCCTCAATAGCAGACGAGCTACAACTCGTCAGCGAGGAGCTACAACTCTTACATGGTCCAAGATCGTGAGCTACAACTCTCGATCGCTAGCTAAGACCAAGAGCACCAACTCTTGGCCGAAAGGCTACAACCCTCCAAATCCTACTTTCGGAAAGCTACAACTCTCCAAGGAAACCAAAAGGCTACAACCTTTTAGCCAGAGCTACAACTCTGTATTGTATAACGTAAGCTACAACTCTCGTTGGTCTCGTCAGTCTAGTACCTCAGAGACAAGTGAAGTGCCGATCTTCGCAAAATCCAGCTCTTTTATACCCTTTGACTCCGCCCACTTTGCTATCCCCCACCACTATTGTGGTGAGTTGCGTGGGGAAGTCGTCATGGCAACAAAATCATCACAGTATCTCTCTCTCTCTCTCTCTCTTAGATCTATTACATTTCTTATGACCCTCTCTCTCTAATACATGGTTTTAATAGGCTTTGCCGATAATTTGAATTTCGCGCTACTTCTCATGGGTCGATAAAATGATTTTACTGATTATCGATTCATCAGACCAATTAATTTTCTATAATATCGGCCTTGAAAATGTAACTACAGTACAAACTTCTAATACGCAAAGTAACAATTCTTAGATAAATAATGAAAAATACTATGTGAAACGTATTTTTTGTATCTTCAATTTGTAAAATCTATAGCAACTTGTCACTTACGTCTAGTTGAACACGGACAAATCTGTTATTTTTTTTTTAAATTTTTCTCAGTGCCATAGTAAAACGTTATCTAGTGTGCTTTGACTCGACTGTAATTTATGGATCTGTTTAGGCTAAAAATTTCAACTTTATATCATAAAACTTAATTCTTCAAGAAAAGTAAATAAAAATAACTTGAAATAAAAAAAGTGATTTACGTGCGATCGGGAAGATCGACACGACGAACTTTCCAGTGGAAAAAATTTAAAAAAACCACATATATTCGTACCCAACGAATTTAAAGTGTATATTAATGTGAAAATTTAGAATTTCAAAGAACCTTATTTTCATAACTAATCCAAAATAGTATTATTCACCCTCTCCCCCTAAATAAGAGCTCTCCCTCTCCCCTTTCGCTTTGTTCTCGGCAATACCAAAAGAGACTTCGCTTCCTGCATCCCCGATGAGGTTAAAACTATATGATTAACAAAATAAGCAATAAAAAATAACACTATTCATGGCATGTAAATATAGAATAGTTTTCTTCTCCGCAGTTTTTTGATACAGCTCAATAACCGGCTCGACCAATTTGGCTTGAAATCTAATCAGGTTTAATTATACATCTAGATCGTCTCTACAGTTATCTAATAAGATGATTCATTTAAAGAGTGTGGTAATGTAGCTGCAGCTATAAATTTCAATTCAATGTGATAAAAAATTTATTTTTGTAATTTCAACTTTAACATTTCAATAGAAATAACTCAAATAAATTGATCTGAACTTTATTCAAAAGATATCAGGGCAGAAGTATCTTTCCTCACAATTAGCTGCTGATTGATGTGCTACGTCATACTCAGTTGGAGGATCATCATCATAGGACCCTCTAGGTAATCTAAAAAAAGCATAATTTATGACTATTTAATCAGTTAACAGTTCAGCAGAATCAAGACTCCATCAAGCTGAAGTCAGTTATAAAGGAATATATTACTATGTAAAATGATTTTAATAACTCTATGATTCATAGCAGCACTCACGTGAATATAGAGTGGAGAATTTCTTGCATAAAGCTTCCTTTCCCAACTTCGGAGTCATTTCTTCTTCCTGCTTGGCAAAGAGCCTTGAGGACACAAGACTTTCCATCTCTGCCTCTCCTTGAAACAAAGGACATCTTCATTGAATACTTAATATTAATTTTATGCCTTCCGCAAAAAAATTCCGCAACATATTACGAAATATTCCATCTCTAGATTCCAGTGAAGTTCAAACTGAGATTCATGTCACGTTATTTGATGAGACTACGACTGTAGACAAGTACTCAGGAAGTTGTACCAACATTTCTGACGTTACGACGTAATTAAGAAGCATTTTGTGCGTAAGATTAGCTACTTAGAGGAACTGACATCTTTGTAACTATAACGTCATTCAAATATTCTCCATGCATAACATTTATGTTTAAATTGCCTTTAATTTTGAATAATTATCCTAAAGAATTACTTCACCTCAGAATATGATATTACACTTTTTATTCATATAACAGTCTCGATGTGATGCTAGACTATTTGAAGCACAGGCAAGTACTTTACTAAATTACCTTATTATGAATCATATTACAACCAATATATTCTACATATTGTTTCAGAATATTAAGGTTTAGTCAAGAATAATATTTCCATAATAAATCTAATGGTATTATAGGTTTTGATAAATTAGCTATTAAATTTATGTTGACTGAACATGTTGTTGGTATTGAAGTTTAAAAAGTATTATAATAGATTGTTCAATTTTACTGTTATTTAAGTCTTTCACATGCCATCCAATACATTTTGATAGTTTACGGAAAACCACACATAATTGACGAATAAAAAATTTGATGGACAATTTTGTTTTTCATTACACTGAGGTCAGGATGTGACAAGAAATGGTATCAAGGATAACATGGTAGAGACTCATTGGATGTTGGGTTATTGCGAGCCAGGAGAATGTATCCCAAGGGGTAGTAAGTGCAATATCGATATCTTCTTAACTAAAACGAGCCATTCGTATCGTCTAGGGTTTGATATCTTACCACGAAGTCGAGGTTATCTCAGCTTTATCGATGGTCAACGATAAAAAATATATACCTATATATTCTACTCTAAAAACTTTACCCCTTTCTTTTTTTTCTCAGCTCAATTCCACTTATACTTTTCTCTTTCTCCGTTTATATCCATACTTTCTCTTGTTTATCCCTCTTTTTTTATTCAATTTATTTCTTTATTTCTTCTTCGTAGACGATTGCTCCCCTGTTCACTTACGCTTTATTTCTAGAAGATTCGATTCATTGACTTACGTGCTCAACATTAGCTCCACTTTACGATACAGCTCTCTTCTACTTCGTCGATGGTAAACCTCGGCTGGTTTCCTATAAGGAACTGTATCTCTGTGAGGCAATTCCCAAGCTAAACCTGCAGTTACTCCCATTGTAAAGAAGCTTTGAGGTCTTGTGTACGTTCCAATAGTCATACAGTAAACCAACTGAATAAAAAAAAAAAAAAAAACGATTTATTGATTTTCTTTTGATACTGGTGCATTGAGAAAATTTTCTTAGAATTCTTAAGATGAAAATGTCAAGGAAAATTATCATGGTAATTGATGGATTATCAATTGATGAAAGCTTACCTAGCCCCAATAGCTACATTTGATAATCACCTGAGTAGAATTTATTTTAGACATGCCTAAATAGCTATTCAGCCCTTATTGGGAATCAGATGGGCTGGCGTAAATTATTTCTAACCAATTATTATTCAACCATTCTTGACCTATGCTTGATGAATTTATTTTTACGCTAACTTAAGACCTTTTCAATTTTGAATTACTCAAAAACTTCCCAATTACAACCTTCTTTTCTGCATTTCTAAACATGTCCTAATTAAGCTTTCCTCTACTTGGCCTTCGGTAGGACGAGCGTTACATTCCCAATGTGGGCCTAATTCGAACAATGGGTAGAATAATTCAAGTCCTTTTAGAAGTTTTATTTAATTTTATTTGTAAAACAGAAAAGCAACGTTTACAGTAAGACAGTCTACAACAATACTGAATTTGGTAATTACTTAGAATTGGGGCTCCAGGTAAAAATCGCTCCGAAAAATTTTTCACTACCTGGAAACTATTTTCTTAGGTAGAATTAGACAATTGAAGGTGGGGGAGACATAATTCATAAGGGCCCATCGAAAAAACAGGATTTTTAGGTATAGGTATAGCTTGAATTTGAATAATAAAGTGACGAAGAGGATGGAAGGTGCGGGGGGAGGGGGTTAAAGGGCCTAAATACTTTTGTAATTTTTGAAAATATTAAAATAATGGGAAAATATGTCTCTCCCACCACGCAAACTTTTGGTATCATTATGTTTCAAGACAACTACCTTAACGAGAATTTAAGAAACCTGAATGAGATGCGAACTCTTTCTACAAAGAAAATTCGACTCGAAGATAATTGACAAAAATTCTTTAACATAATTTGTACTGTAGAATGATATTGTTAAGAGGATTCATGAATCAAATAATTTGTTCTTCATATAAGAAGTAAATTTGCCCAAAGTAAAATGACAGAAAATATATAATGACATTTGAAAACATAAAATTAATCTAAATAAGATTTTCATGATCTAAAGTCTAAATAAGAATTTGATGACATTAAATTCTGAGCAGAATATATTCAAACAATAATCATCAATGCATGAATTCGAAATTCTTATGAAATAATACACTCAAATAAATGCACCCAAATGATATTATTTCTGGTTATTAGAAAAACTTTGTCAATTATTTTATTATTTCACACAATAAAAAGTGAAAGTGTATTTTATAAATAATGATTTATTGATAAAATAGAATTTTTCAAGAAAAACGTGAAATTTAAGCTCTTTTAAACTTTAAACAACTAACGATTGTAATTGATACGCTCTCTCATAATCGTTCGAGCATGAAACTAGTCGATCATGAAGTAATTATTTCAATGAAATATGGTACAAATTTACTATCTTTCACAGACTCCAAGGCATGAGATAGAAATCATGAAAATTATCCAATTTGTGAAATCAAATAATTTAAAAGATTTATTTTACACTGATAATTATTTTATTGAACATAACATCAATCAATAAATTTTTGTGTAATCAAGGTTCGATACATACACACACAAAGCAAAATTGATTTTTATAAATCAAGTAATAACTGAAAGAATGTTACTTCAATTTGGTGAATAACTAATCGAATGTCTAAGTATGTTCGTTAGGCTTACAAATGCATTATGAAAATCTTCTTGGTCTTCAAAAATACTTAACTGAAATTCCTAGACACATAAATCATCAACAATGATGTAGTAACATTCTAAGAAAATTTTTTTAATGTGTGAAGTAATTTTCAATTAAGGCAGTTATCCAGCGAGAATGATTACTTACAATTTTTTTTGAACGGTATTATTTTTATAGAATGACGAAAACTGAACAATTTTTTTCCTTTGAACAAAAAAGATATGACGTCAAGATATGAAGATATTTACAATGAAAGATTACGATTTTACCATGCAGTATAATGGTAGAAGGTAACTCGTGATAGTTTTTCAATAAATATTCCAAAACGGAATTTACGATTACGTTTAAAAAAAAATCATAAAATCAATGAATATGTAATTAATGCTTCAGTGAAATTTCACACAATTTTGACGTTCAGTTATTGAACAAAAAATTATTAAAATCAATTTTCCGACAACAAATGGAAGAATAGTAATGTGGTGGTACATACATATAAGTAATGTCGATGCATTGGTACAGGTCCATCCAAACAATTATTCCAAATTGTAGAAAAAAATTATTAATAATACTTTCTAGATATTATTGAATATTACTTATATCGTATTATAAATAATTTCTGAATATAATTCCACAGAAGTTTGGATATTTATTAGATTTTTTTTACATATTGTAAAATAAGACCAAATAACAACTTTGGAAAATTAATAAATAAAGAAAAATGTTTATTAAAGATTGACAGCAATTAATTAAAATCAAAGAATCCGTGCGGTCAACTCAAATCTCAGTCGAAAACTGGAGATAAACAAACTCTCCACTCGTTGCTACAAATAATCTAATCGTCAAGCAATCGTCGTTAACTAACAAACTGTCGTTAGTCTAATAGTCATTAGATGGCGACATACAAATATTTTGCACTTCTCCCGATCTTCTAAAAATTGCCACCTGGCAATTCCTATTAGTTGGGTAAAAATATTGGATTAGGCTGAAATAAATAAACATGCAAAATCTAAAATTACATTTCTAATTCGAAATTCTGAAAATCAAAAAAATAATCATTCCAAATTATAAAGATGAATCAAGTTATTACTCAGCCTAAATACCAATATTGCCGCTTCCCAACTCTGTCTGCTTTAAAATAAATAAAACAAATAATTAGGAGGGAAAAATCCTGCGGCGGGTAAAAACCTCCAAACAGACCCAAATGATCTAAATTAAACTAATAACGTGATTCTATACAATAAAAGATTTCTTAAAAACTAATCGTCCGTTAGTCAAATTAAAAATTAAAAATCTTAATTTTCATCTTCGATTCCCTTTCCATCCTTCTTTTTCATCAGGAGGAACCACTGGGAAGAACCAAAAGAGTAGGAAATGCCAAGAACTGGAAGGTCATGGAACTAAACAAAATAAAAGTTCCTCACAGAATCAAAGTTCTTTAAAAATTTCATTATTTAATCATAGATTTAATGTTCAATTAATAATTAGGTTGAATTGTCACATTTCATGAAGTCAATTCTCTAAGTAAATTCCGACTTTGCATCCTTTTTAAATAAAATCCGACTCTTAAATAAATGATTCAATATCATTAAAACAATCAATTCAATTCCACCTTGCGCAAGGAATTTTCAAAAATAAGTTCAATAGCTTCTGCTCACTGTGCAAACTAAATTATTAAAAATTGGTGAATTTGAATCAACAATCAAATGATCAATGCGAGCCAACATTCTTAGACTGGAAGTTAAAAAAACCCTGAATTCAACAGAAATTAGAAATCCAGAAAGAGTCAACAACGATTCATTATCATCATACGGAGCGAGTCTAATCATTCAATCACTTAAAAACGACCATTCAAGATTTTCTGAAATTCGAAACGCAACATCTTTAAGTAGATTTCAGATGCATGAAGGCCTTCCTAAAATAACTAAAATTTTAGGCGATTTCCTTCACTTTAAAGAAAAATTGAATTAAATCTCTGAATTTAATCTAAAAGAATTTCAAACCAAATTTAGTTATTTTCTGTTAAACTTGATTTAACAGCCTGAAAAATTTTACAATTCTTCTTAGAATGACCTTCTATTCCACAAATCCAACATCTAAATCTATGAAGAGAATTTTGATTATTAAAAGATTTTAAATTTCCTTTAGCAGAATCAGAATAATTATTATTATCATTATAAATTTTATCTTTTTTGAAATTATTGTTAAAATTGTTTTTATTCTGACCTCCGAAGGTCAAATCTTCAATCGACTCGAGTTCTAGAGCTCTCTGAGTTGCTAATTGAAGAGATTCAATTCTCTCCGAACGAAGAGAAAATTGTAACTTTAATTTGTTTAATCCAGAAATGAATTGCAAACCAGCAATTCTATCTCTCTCTTCAAAAGAGACCGAAGGGTACGCCAATTTGACAAGCCTATCCAAATCATTTGAAAAGTCTGTTAAGTTTTCATTTTCAGACTGTTTTCTAGCCTGAAAACGACTAAAATAAGCTCCAGAAAATTGAGCTTCACCAAAACGATCTTCCACAATTTTCTTCAATTTTTCAAAATTCCCTGAATCTTCTAAACTCAAATTTTCTAAAATGACTTGAGCTTTGTCCTTCGAACAGGACACTAAAATCGATGCTTTGACTTCATTTGTCCACTTATGCAGACGAGCGATTGTCTCAAATTGACGAGAATAAGATTCCCACGTCTGAGAATTATCAAATTTTCCCGGTTTTGCAAAAGCTAAAGAACTATTATTATTATTAACTGAAGAAGTTGAGACCGATTCAACCAAATTATTAGAATTATTTTCTAAATTATGAATTTCCAAATTATTATTATATTATTATTATATTATTATTATTATTATTATTATTATTAATTAAATTTCTTATCTCTCGAAATAAATCTTGAGTTTCTCTTCGACCTTCCTCGAAACGTTCCTCCAAACGAATCTGATCTCGATTTAGTCTTTCTTCCAACCGATTTAATCTCATCTCTAAAGCTAGAAGTCCTCCATTAGAACCGTCTTCGACACAATTGGCATATTGAGTTCTCCTTTCAGCTCGAGTTTGTCTCCGACTTGGACTCTTCGGCATGATTTTTTTAAAATATTCTTCAAAAGTCACTAACAAAAATATTCACGGCACGCGAAACGAACCACTTTCTGACACCAATGTAAAATAACAACTTCGGAAAATTAATAAATAAAGAAAAATGTTTATTAAAGATTGACAGCAATTGATTAAAATCAAAGAATCCGTGCGGTCAACTCAAATCTCAGTCAAAAACTGGAGATAAACAAACTCTCCCCTCGTTGCTATAAACAATCTAATCGTCAAGCAATCGTCGTTAACTAACAAACTGTCGTTAGTCTAATAGTCATTAGATGGTGACATACAAATCTTTTACAATATAATTAATTCTATTTGGCTTGAGCACAATGAATTTTGATACAAACTCTCGAAGAATAACTACCTTAAGAAAGAAATTTTTTTTAATTAATTTTTTTACGAGTGATAAGTAAAAAAATTGAAGATAATTTGAATTACCTGAACATTACTACCTTGTGGGAATATTAAATATCTTTTTGGTCCTTCTGCTTCTCTTTTAGATCTCAAGAAATGTGTATTGTTACCAAATTCTGATAATCCAAGTGTTGTAGAAACCAAAACTAGTATATGTAAGTGACGTAAAGCAGCTTTAGCAAACATTTTGTATTTAAAATAACTGGATAATACTCTTTGTAAGTATATGCCAAGTACAACGGTACATGGTTGAGTGTTAAACTGCTGGGAATTTAACATTCATTAACTTGCTTGATGTATTTCAAATATTTCAAAAACGAATTAAAGTACTTAAACTTTATCATGGTGTGGAAGAAGTAAAAAAAGAAATAAATAATAAACATTTGAATAATTGTCAAAAGTTAAGTTTATTTTTAATAAAAACGAAAACAAAAGTACAAGAAGATTTTTTAGTTGATGATGGTTAGTTAAAGTCCACTTGAGTTTCACTCATGAGACTTGTAGGAACTTTTAAAAGCATGAATGACTCGTTAAATCTTAATTTCGACCTCAAAATGTCAAAAGTCAAGCTCGTAGATAGAGTGTCGACAAGCTGGATACTCTTCAGCGCAATTTGTCTTCGTATCATTAGCAAAATCATAAATTCTGTGGTCTTGTCTTTCGAAAATATTGCCATCATTTTTTAGCCTGAAATAAATCAGAGTATTTTTAAAGTTTGTCAACAAACAAAAACCATGACTTTTTGGTTACTTGAAAAGCTTAAATGTAACAATTATTGAAGTCAGTAAATATAATTTTTGCCAACATTTCAATTGGAGAAATTTTTAAAAATTTTTATCATCAACACACGATATGATTTTATTTAATTTTTATTGACCTCCAAGTATCTGGGGAAAAGAATGGTAATGAATTAGATCGATAGATAAATTTATTATTAGAAAAAAAACAACTAAAATATCAGTGCTCTGCAGTGGTCTGAGTGCGACCCGAAAGGTCCACACGACCAACTGCCCAGTGGAAAAAATGGAAAAACACCTCAAATAGAATTCGTTTCCATTCTTATTAAAAAATGGAATTGTTATAAACAAAATGAGTGTGTTTTTATCCATTTGATATGGTTAGTTACTTCATTTTAGTAAAAGAAAAAATTATGCGTTAGAAGAATTCAAATATACCTCATAGATCCTTTTTTCATTATTTATAACAAATTTCATTGTTTTAAACGATAAAAGTATATTTTCATTTATGTCATACGGTTGGTAATATTTTTTCAAGTAAAAGAAAAAATTATGCGTTAAAAGTACTCATATATATAGCATGGATCCCTATTTTTATTGTTTATAACAATTTAAAACTTTTTATTTAAATATTACCATGATCAATAATCATTTGTTAGTAATGATGTTCGATTGTTATGGATACAATTCCATATTATTAACAATTATTATTGACTATTATTGCGTCATTGATGCTGCTTTTTTAATCTTGACACGAGTTTAAAATTCTTTCATTGCTGATTTTGTTTTTTAAAATTTTTTTTTCGATGAAATATTGTCATTATATTTCCATACAAGTATTCTAATCATTTAATATTTTTTTAAAGATTTTAAAATTTTGTCTAAAGAATGGTATAATTTATAAATTGCAAAATTCAGGTCGTTTTTCATTTTTGCCCATTTTTTGATTCTGCATAAGAAACTACTAGACCAATTTTGTTGAAAACCTGATCAGTTCTAAGTTGCGCAATTACCTAAAAAAAACTGATCATTTTTACTCGGGTCGTCCTGTCATAATAAGTGCACGATCATATAAGGTATTTCGATCGCGATTAATTTTTTCTCAAGATCTCTTTTTTTCAGTACGTTAGAATTAAAGATTATTAGAGAATGAAACGGTTGTTTTAGAGAAAGAAATCGATTTGCCGTTTAGAACAAAATTTACTCTTATTTCCATTTAAACCAATAATAATTGACTACAAGACGAGGTTTTTTAAAATTCATTCAAACACGGTTCTTTAAATTTTCGTAAAAAATTATGTAGTGCAAATGCGTTTATAATAAATACTTTCTCTGAAAAAAACTAAGTTTTATCCTACCGTTCCTAAAGAAATAAATTATTATTAATAATTTTAGTCTAAATTCCACTATGAATAGGTATTGACCTTCTTTTTTGAATCTTTTCATGTTTTTCGGAGTCCTGGACCTTTTTTTCTTTGATATGGCCCGGAGCAATCTAAATACCTTAAATCTTTTCAATAATTTTTGAGTTTTCTTTTTCATTTTTATTAAAATATTTTCTTAAGAGCATATTCTTTAAAAATAAATCAATGAACATACACTGGTCTGCAATACTTTTCATTGATTTATTTTCAGAAAGTCACATTTTTTTGAGGGCCTCTTTGAATATAAGTTGATGAAGTTAGTCTGAAAAAAGATTCCGTAAAATAAACCGTAAAAAATAGAAGAACTATAATTATAATTCAAGTGTTAGTCAAAGAATTATCAAGTTTTGTGCATGAAGAACTTCATTATTGGAGTATTATACTAAAATTATAACTTTAACGATTTTTTTTACTATCAGATATTAATTCAAGTGAATGAAAAGTGAACTTTGTTTGTGCATCTTTAAAATTCTTACCTGTGGCCTAACAATATACTGTAAAATAATTGTATATCTCTATCTACATGTTGATGACAAACTACTGAATTTATTATCAACAAATCTTTTTTTTTTTTAATTCTAAATTCAAATTACAATCTGTTTATTAACAATAATTAATTTTGCTGGCTTGAGCTTAAAGTGATGGCAGTGAACCTGTTCAATAGGATTAAAGAATCCTATTGATTTTTATTCATTGTTGACAACACTTAACTGATTTGTTTACACTAATTAACAACTCTGATACGCTGATTTAATTTATTATAAAATTAGAATCTGAATTAATCATCTTTTTATCATATTTCAAATGAGTAAATTGGATCTAAAGTTCATTACAATAACATACCCTCTAAAAATGAAACAGTGAAAAAATAAAATACACTGCAGAATCAATAAATATTCACTGATCTTGCAGTGTATTTCATTTTTTCACTGTTTTATTTATAGAGAGTAGATTGTCTGAATGGTTCACAAATATACTGTAAATTTTAGTGTTTTATTTTAAAACATTAAAAGTGTTTTAATATAATGTCATCTATTTGATTAACATTATCTCAATTTGGAAACGTTTTTAAGTATTGGAAAATTGAGACAATGTTAATCAAATAGGTGACGTCATATTAAAACACTTTTAATGTTTTAAAATAAAACACTAAATTTTACAGTGTATAAATAGACCTTATAAAAGAATAAAATAGATGTTTGTACAGCTATGAAATAAAATATCTGTCTACTGTGTTTTTATAACAAATAAACATGAACTTTTCAATTTTTAAGCAAAATGTAATTAATTTTTAATTATCACACTTCCAGAAGAAACAATTATAAACTTAAAAATTTCCAACAATCTAATGATAATGTAAAGTTTAATGAAATTAGTAATAGATAATTAAACAGCAGCTAAATTCAATTCGATTTTATGCCACTTACTTGAAAATTGCGTGGAGAAGTTCCTGAACAAAAGTTCCACTTCCAACATCCCTATCGTCCCTTCGTACTGCTTCGCAGATCGCCCTCATCACGCAGGATTTTCCGTCAAGTCCAGCTCTATTACAGCACAAAGTTTAAGTAAAGCCTTTAATTTAGAAATTTCTCTTAAGATTAGTTTGTAATAGTTTCATACTAAGGGATTTAGACAAGTAGAAATTAATCGAAACCTTACTACATTTTTTATAAACAAATTAATTAAATTCAAAGTCTATCATCTAAGTCAAACAACTTGGTCATTAATTCAAGAAAAAAAATTCCAGCTATATTTAAGTTGAGAAATTATTCAAATGAAATTAAAGATAAATTACATAGATAGTTTAAAATGAATGTTCTAAGAAATTCAAGACATTTGATGGTAGACACGAAAGGAGAGCAAGAAATTACGTAATAGATATTTTAACATTCATTTTTAAACATGTAAGATAGACTGATACAATTGTTTTTTTGTTTTCTATTTTTGTTCTTGATACCTGCAAACCAATATAAATATCTAGTGATATATATCAAGATGCAGGAATACATTATATAGAAAACAATATTACATACTACACCTTTTTCTTTATTGCTTTCTCACCCTTTCATGTATCCCAACTCTCCTCAGTGAATTTTTCAGGTTTCTATTTATTTTATTTTTTTTCACTTTTCTATTTCTATTTGATATTTTCTTTAACATGTGTACGACGCATGTCCAAGATGTATCGAAAATTCAAGTATTTCACAGAGTCAAGATTGGTTTGGGAGACGACCATGTTAAGAAAGGGAAAAAAGAAAAAGAGTAGATTGTGCTATTGAGACTGCAGTGCAGTGGTAAATACAAACTCCTCAAGAGAATATCTTATCTCAATATTCAAAAAATGCTATAAAATATTCAAGAATTTGTTTCCTTCAATTTTTCTACTTCTTTACGATTGTTACTCTTTACTTATTTCTCTCTTTATGTAAAATACCCGAGCTTTTTTCCTCATGCTGGTTGATTTTTTTATTTTCTTTTACTACTTCCACGTATTGGAAACTAATTTCATGTGATTTTTGAGTAGTCACAGAGATCACTCTATGAATATTTAATCAACTGAACTAAATAAAGATCACTGATTTGTAGGTTCTTTTTTCTTAGAACTAGTTCCTTCCTTTTACGTTAAAGGATGTCAAATTTTCGCAATTTGGAGACCATTATTTACGTTAGTACTTTTTTCGTTCCGTTACTTTATCAAGGTTCACAAAGTATGACTTACGACTGTAAGAGAGCTTCTATCTTGGGAAAGATCACGCTTCGACTCTTACGATGTAGCAATTTGGTTGCTTTTGGATCTACTTTAGTTGGTAATTCCCAAGCAAGAGCAGAAGTCATTCCTACAACTAAATCTCCTTTCCTTGCAAGACCACCGATCGTTAGGCAGAAGACTAACTAGAATTATATTAAGTAAATAATGTTATTTAAATTGAATAAATTAAATTCTAAATATCTACATTAAATCCAATGCTATACATCATCACATTATTCTCAATGTTACGAAAAAACATTGCTGGAAATAATCAAAAGTCACTGCTGTATTATAAATAAGCATTAATTATTTTTTCTTTCAATGAGTGATTATTAGGTGCATGAGGAACATGTCAAAACAATAATACACTCACATGTCCATCATTCAGAAATGTTTTTTTTTTATATAAACTATTGTATACAAGTTTTCACTATAGTTTAAATAAAATAAAAATTCAACTCATCAATGATTTTAATCTTACAATTAAAAAATTAACACGGACTGTCGTAAACAAGAATTATAAACAGATATTCAATAGGAAATAAATAATAAATTACTATTTATTGTAATTTCCTGGAGATCATTTCGATCTTAAAGTCATGAAAAATAATTGATTATTTATTTTTTATTGAAAATCAATTAATAAGTATTTTTCACTGCAGTCCTTCCTACTTTTTTAATTCTCAAAAAAATTAGTTCATCTACTACAATGCAATAATCAAAAGACATTTTTATCTAGAGCTACATTTTTCAACTAATTTTTAAAATACAGCTCAGCTTTAATCTTTTTGTCAAAGACTTTATTTTCCAATCTACACTAAATTATTCAAAATTCCCTCAAACAACTTCATACTTTCTCATCAGCTAATTTTCTTTCTTACTATACTAATTAAACTTTAAAAATAACCTATTAATAATTTCATAAATAAATTATACTTCACCTGCACGTTGCTACCATCAGGAAAAATCAAATACCTCTTTTGTCGAGATAAAGTCTGACCTCTTTGGATTTCAGTGATGACATTTTTTGGAAGCACCACAAATACTAGGCTCAGACAAACCAAAAAGAACATCCTATGATTCTGTATAAAAAAAAAGCTCTATAAATATGACTTTTCCAGTATTTTTTTATATTTCGTTGGATACACAAAAGCAAGACCCACATTTGTCATATCGCTGAACATTTTTCTTTCTCTGCTCTTGTCCAGCCTTCGTCTACTTCCTCGTATATAAAGTCTGTCTAAAAGACTATTTGTAATACCTTGTAGTGAATAGCAACGACGCCTTTGTGTTTCCGATCTTCAATGGACGACCTCACCAGAGGGAGGTCTTGACTGAAGCTGCGATAATTCGTTGATACGACACGAACGATCCGCTATGTTTGCTCGGTGACACTCTATTCAATCGATATACTGTTACGACAGGTAATTTACTTTACATGATGAGAATGACATGAAGCCTAGACGTAGAACGATGTGACTAAACATGACTTCATCATAAATTATTTATATAGAGTAAAGGATTATTTAATTAAGTTAATCATTATAAACTTTTCAATATTTTATTTAATCATATTAATATATTTAACATAATTATTGAGACATTAAAATATCCATTCGATTCGAATATAAGTGGATAGGTTTATTAAATTAATTGGAGTTTGTGAATTAAAATTTTAAATGATGATTTTCAATTTCACTTTGAATTTATAAACCACTTGGACTCTTTGGATAATTATCCTTTGAATAAATGCCAGTGAAATAAATAATGAATGTATTTCTGCATGTATAGAATAGATATAATACATACATTCCATGAAATTCTGTTGTGTAATATAGTATAATAAATTATTTCTTTTTTCTGATAGCTAATGAATAATATTTTAATTTAATTATCAGTAATCATATTATTTTATGTTCATTGTTCTCGCCAACATCCAGACATAATAGGATGATGTTATTTAATTAAAAACTAGCAAAAAGAATAAATAAATTTGACAATAGCTTCAATTGACCTTCGTACTGGTTAGTAGAGACTGGATATGCTAAGGTTCAAAGAAGCTATTGACATTAATCAATTGCATAGGACAGGCCATCATGTGTTGCTTGCATTCAAGTGTCAGGTCCTCAACATGAGTCCAATTGGCGTTTGATGTTCTGAAATCACCAACAGTACTTATGTATATGCGATCACAACACAACAGTATATAAACTGGAGCAAAACGCAAAGTGGTATTTAAGCAACACTAGAAGCTGTGGAAATTGGTGGAAAAGAGAATATCTCAAAGAGAGAGATGATGAGAAGTTTAATTAATTGGTTCAAGTTCCATTTCGTGGGATAATTTGTGCACTCCATACCTCGCTAGTAATTTTAATATCTTGCTCATAATTCCGCCTTTGTGTTCAGCATAATTTATTGCTTCGCAAAGGTTGCTGGATAAACAGGTTTGACCATTAAGTCCATAACTATAAACATAAATACATTTATTGATGTTATTCAATGGCTTTTTTCAATCTATGTACTTACTTGTTATATTTTATTAGTGTAACTCTGAGATACAGTTATGTAAGTACATTTTATGATGTTTAAATCATTTATTACCTTTCGTACATGAGATGGATGCTTTCATGTGGATTTTCTATAGCTCTACGTGATCTGGAGCCATCAGGTAGAGGCCAAACTACTTTGAATCCAGAAGCGTGAGCAAATATAGTCGTCCAACTTACTGAATTTATTTTGTAATTTATTCTGTACTGTTTTAAAATTTTATGGTAAGCTTTTTTTTTTAGTAACCTCCTAGAAGTGAGACTTCATCTCACAATTTTAGTTACAAACTATTTTTAACAGTCACAATGAATAAAAGGTGTTGGAATAGAATGATGTTAGCTGTATAGGTATAAATCTTGTAAACTATAAGATAAGGACAACAGATATTAAAAGAGAAAGGTTTATTAAAATGACAGATTCAAATAAAGAATCTAAGATATGACGTCTAAAGTCAGCTAGTCTCAGTCCTAAATTAAAATAAACAAACTAGTCGCGCATTGCTAATAACAAATTCTGTCATTTGTCAATCCATCTATAGATGGACACATATATTTTATAATATAATTACTACCTACACTGGTATTATCACAAGTCATATTCATTACAGCACAGATAGCAGGATATAAAAATCTTCGAATGATCATCATTGATCAATACCTGAACACTAGTCTAAATGGAACTGGTCTAATGCCAACATATTGTTAAATAGTGGCTCTAGGAATGATTTAAAAAAATTACAAGTTTATTAAAATAACAGCAAAGATGTTTATGCTGAAGAAAGACGTCTGATGTGCTCTTGTTTTCATTGTAAACTAACGTACACAAATCAGTCAAGCATTGCTAACAATAAATTCAGTTCTTTGTCTATCAATATATACATTTATGTAAATGGAAAAGTGAATTTATTTTATAATATTAAGATTTTGTAGATATATTTAATAAATATCATATAATAGTATTTAAACATAAACATTGCATCGTTCACTAATTATTTATTTCATCCCGAGTTCAAACATAACACCTAAATTTTTTTTTTTCATGCTATTCCTATCCTTTCTATCCTAGATTCAACCTCTTTTTATCTTAATATTATTCTGTTCCATTTTTTGAGTAAATAACAATTAAGATGATAAAGCCTAATTTTAACCTTCTAATCCTAATACTTTTTTTATCCTTCTGAAGTTGGTAAAAATTAAGATATAGACAAAGTAGCCTGATTTTAACCTAATAAATTGGTCTGCTTATATCCAAAAGTATTTATGGACATAGTTGAAATAAGGTCACGATTCACATAATGGATTAATTTTCCAAAAATTATATTTATTACAAATTGAATTGTTTTAAATCATTTGTTACAACCTAGTAATGAATTAAATGAAACTGCTCTTTCAAACATGAACATAGTCAATATTGTAATGACTCCTATTACAGTCATACTTGTTTTAATAATACATATGATGTCAATGCTGATGGACAGCCCAATTAAAATTGAAATGAAATAAATAATTATGAATAATATTGTTTTTATTAAAATAAAATTACTCGAATCTCAAATAAAATTAGATTGAAACCAGGAAAAGAATGAAATAAAAGTAGGATGGAGCTAAGAGAAAAGAAAAATAAAATTAGTATGAGTTTAGAATAAAATTGAAAAATTTTCGTCCTACGGAAACACTGGTTTGTTGCGTATTCCGACTTTAATTAGGATTTGTTCATCTTTAGTTAAACTTTAAGAAAGGATTGTCTCAGGATGAGAATAGGTGTTATATTTTGACTCGAGTAACTTTTAGTCTTAGACTGAATTCTAACAAAAGGTGTAGCTAAAAGATCATTTGGATTAGTAAGAGCCCAACAAATTTACCAGATGTAGCTTTATACGCAATTCTAAGTGGCCTATCTCTTTTTTAAATTTGTCATCACAGATCTCCTTTAGCAGCCTCGACCCTGTAACCCTTTAAAGCACAGCAGGCTTTCAGAAACATACAAACATCTCGTTGGTTCTTTTATTATTCAAAAGCAATGAGCAAATATTGAAATAATTACTATTAATAGTGAACTTCATAAATCTACCAAATAAATACATTCTCAATAGTTATTCAAAATGTTGTTCTCCATCCTAAATTTACTATCTTTAATTACTAAAAACTGATTTGAATAAAAAAAATGTTTTACTATTGATATTAAAATGCAGCCTGACTCCCAGGTAATTATTTTTTGTATTTAGAAATATGAAATAGAAAAAATAAAAAATGTCTAGAAAAAATAATGATGCTGTAGTGAAGTGGAATAAAATCGGAATAAAATCCTGGATATTTAAGAGAAGGAGTAAGCAATAAGACAAATAGCGTTTGTACTGAACTTGAAGCCAATAATAAGGTCTATCGAGTCTGCATGAACTCCACTTATGAAGTAAGCAAAAGGACAACTAGGAAAGAAGTAGAGGCTTTGAAAGAAGGTCGAAGTGTCGCCTGAACCTGGCAAGCCATTTGTCAGCAGGGTAACTCGACTCTTGTTCAACTACTCAACCCACCAGCTCTGTTTCTTACAACCCAGAAATGTGAAGCGTCAAAATCGATTTGTATTCTCGATACACTTTTTGAATACAAGTATCATATCACTTTAAAGTTTTATCAATTTCACCAAACATTCCATCAAAATGACTTTCTACATTTCTCAGAGTTGATCATTTTTATGAACACTTTATTTACTCGTAGAAACTTTTGATTAAATAACTGATTCAATCATAAAAGTAAGATTTATTTGATTAAATTTCAAAGTTGAATTATCATCAAAAAAATGATCAAGCATATTTAAATAATTGACAAATATTTAACTACTCACAAAGTATGAACTTCCTTTCTGGAAGGCAACAACTCGTTTATATCTCACTGCTTCTGTCCAATCAAAATCAACAGCCAACATAAAGAAACAAGTCCATAAGTTAAGTTTCATCTTCATCTAAGTGATGGTGAGAAAGTGAGATGCTAGTTAACAAGTGTATCATCAAGTTTACCATCAATAAAAGCTAGGAAGATTCTGTAAGAGCAAAAGCATCATGAAGGAAAGTTACCAAAATATATCCAGAGTGAGTTTCAGTTAAGTTTCCAAGTACGATTTATATCTAGAGTTAACTCATACCCCCTGACTCGGTTGGTCTTTTCCAGTCCCTCTACCAGAAGCCAATTAGTAGCTTGGTGGTTAGCGTTGATTCTACAAGATACACTGGCTATTTAATTTAATTGAAAATGTAACTAAACGATTTTACTAACGATACTATGGTCCTACCGGCTATTTAAATGTATTTTTTCTTGGCACTATCACTTTTTATATCAACCTAACAATTTATTTCAGCTTAATCGTGCCAAATTTTTTTAAATTCAACCCTAAACTTATTTCTCTCTGCTACCAGTAACTTTCTGCACGTACAGGAGACCACGAAACCAATGAAAAATACCTACAAGAGAACAATCTACCTATCCTCTTTCTCGTTTGTTAGATATACGACAGAATTAGCATTGCAGACAGGTACCACGCTGTGTATAAAGGTTGTTAGTGCTTTGGTAAACAGTCCAGGTGTTCACCTACGTCAAGTTTTCTCCTCTCTGTACATTCTCTGGACTAGTATTATGAACTTTGTATTTATAACTCAATGAACAAATATTGTTCGAGGTATAATAAGTTCTAAATTAATTTGCGGTCGATTATTTTGTTGAACTATTTTCGAATTAAATTTATGATGAGAATGCTGAAGTCAATGAGAAGGTTGAATTATTATAATTAATTTGATTAAATTCATTACTCTGTGAACACCCTTCTATTGTAACTTGTTCATATCAATAGAATTATGATTATAAAATAAGTAAAAATAAATTGTTTATAAATTTATAAATAAAGATATTTATAATTGAACTTATATTATTTAATTGCATAGGCCAGTAATTAATGTTACATGTAATAATTCTTTAATAAATGAACTTATAAATGAATGATAAAAAACGACACAAAAATTCTTTTTATTAAAATTACACTGAAAAAAATGTTACAGAAAAAATTATCTAAAATGTTGCTACTATAATATAATAAATATCTACATCACTGAATAGTGACCCGTGACGTCACATGTTTATAACCTCATCTTTCAGGACCATAAGAGTTTTAGAGGTTAAGTTATGTTTTTAACTATGTAAAATGATCTATGGTGCGTCTAGAAAACATATTAACAAATCAAAATATAAAAAAGTAAAAATACGTTCAGAAACCAATTTAACAGTAAAATACTTATCGTTTCTAATAAATTTATTAGTTACATTTATTTATTGTTTTGGGACGCCTGTGTCCCCATAGTTGTCAAAGGGTTAAGACTGGGCTTTACTAACCTCAAATCACCTCAAATTTTTCTCGTCAAACTGTGCATTTTTTATTTGTTTTTTTCACGTAAAAAATATTTAGGAATATGTAGAAAAGTGGTCTACACATCGGAAAACAAAGATTAATAGTACTAGTGTAATAATAATCATAAAACCCGTGAAAAACGACTTCAGATCTGTTCAGATGATAAAAATTTTCTAGGTTTAATCAGATGTGAATTTTTTAATCTGCTTACATCAGAATTGATACGTCTTATCTGATCAGATCTTTTTCATAGGAATAAATAGTTTTTCAGTGAATTTCGAGGTGTCATGGCGGATGCACTTATCCTGAGCCCTTCACTGATAATTAATTTAAGAGATCTGATGTTATTACCAGGTCTATCAATTTTTTTCAGTGTTGAGCTGTTCAATCTGAATTTATTTAATGAATGTTCTATTTTTATTACACAATTAGTTATAAAATGTAACAATTTTAATTGTCTAGGAGGGAATAATCAATTTTCAGTACAAAGTAAAGGGAAATAACTGGTTTAAATTATAAAACAAGAAGGGGGACTTGGTTGAAAATTTATGACTGACTTTATTGGCATCTTTAATGATGTAAGGAATTAATCAATATCGAATGAACGAATCTGCGTTATTCTGTCCAGTAATCCTACACCCTTGGGACAACCTGAGTAGATTATTGAGCAATCATCTCCACGTCGTCCTGCCTGAGCCGCTTGTAGATAATCTTCATCGGCAAACGTTGAATTATTGCCATAGTCAGGTCTATAAGGTACAAATAAACTGACGTCATCCAGTGAATATGTGTAAAGCTGATGTAGTTACACATTTATCATATGGAATAAACGTAATTTTTCTGTACAGCAATCCGAGACATTGAGAAAAAAGTCGACAATAAAAACTCACGTCAAGATGACGTAGAACAACTCTTCTATAAGACCCTCTTGGCTCAGTGAAATTTCTGATGCTTCACATATGCTTCTTAACATGCAGGATTTACCATCTCCACTCCATCTGAAAAGTATTTTTCTCTCTATTTTTCTTATATATTTTTTTTTTGTTGAAAGTATTTTAATACAACTTTTTATCTTATATTTTCATAAAATTCTGGATAAACTCCCGATAAAATAAGCTGAAAAAGTTCTATAAATATATTTATGCTTACAATTTATAAAATAGTTATATTTATTTTTCAATAAATATAACTATTTCAAAATAATTATTAAAATATTTATTTGATAACAATTTCTGTCCTTTTTGTATTAATTAGTTAAATATAGCATACAATTGTAAGATTAATGCAATTTATTTTTATGTACATGTCAGATTGTTGACAACATTAAAATAAAATTTATTATTTTAATATTAAGAATGTCTTGTATTTAAATGAATTATCATTTAATTTTTTCCCTAAAATTTTTCTCATAAAGATTTAGAATGAGTCGAATAGGTTTTTCTTGAATGACCTGAATGATTGTATTGTGTGTAAGTACTTAAATGAAAGTCACTGCAAATGGTTTCTAGATTATTCATATGAAAATTACTATTCATTCTTTCATTCACATAAGTACAATCTCAAATTATCAATAATCCTTGTTTTAAATCCTATACACATATGATATGAGTCGTGGATACAAACACGAGAGATTATTGTTAAACCACCGGAAAAATGTATTTAAAAAAAAATGTTCTAAATATAAAAATCAACGAAATTTTTTCCACATTAATTTAACGCAGTTTTATTTTTATCAATTGAATATTATATGATTAATCGTGTATTATGTAAATTTATTATTTAATTTGCAACCAATAGGAAAAATCTACTTTAATGAATTTATTTATTTATTTGTTTATTTCCAGAAAATACATGATGTTTGATTGTGTCCTATAGAGTTGACAAGTCAACTGTACATGGGACTGGAAATTATAATATGTCGTGACACAAAAAAAATCACAAATTAATATACAATAAGTACACTGTACCCATTTTTAACAGATTAAACTTACACACACATGAAATACTGTAATTAATACTGATAAAAAAAATATAAAAATAATTCAATTCACAGAAACAGTAATAATTAAAGATCATAGATCATAAATTAATTGAAATCATCCCTCAACACTGCAAATCCAAGTGTTTAGAAACTAAACACTGAAAGTGTTTGAAATGTTAAACATCATAAACAAACTATGGCAATTTTGCAGACGATTTTTACACGCTTCTTGCCGTTTACCAAAGTGCTATAGTTTGTTTATGGCGTCCAACAATGTAAACACTTAGGTGTTATTTAATTATTAAACACTTTAATTTTCCCGGATTTGTAAATCGTTGCTTTCTTAAAATCTTTTTGCTGCTAGAGAGATTTTTTAACGAAATAGGTAGTTGTAAAATCTGTTACTACAGTTGTGACCATCAAATTTCCGTTCAAGACTATGAGTTTTTAACAAAGATAATATTTTACATGCAATCAAGAAAAATATTATCTTCAGCTAACATAATATGATTTTCATTATATACAAAATCCAGATTATCTTGAATCAACAAAATTCTTCTTGAACTAAAATATTCTTTTTCTATGTGTAGTTCATTTATGGCGTTAGACATTATCTGTGTGAATTTTACACATGTGTAAGGGGATTTTAGATTTGCAGTGTAGGTAAGATGATAGACTTAAATCTAGTATCTGCACAATCTTTACTATACTTTAGTTTAAACATATCATAATAATATAAAACAGAACTAACAATAAAAGATTTTTCAATACTCATGACTAATTAATTCTTGGAAAATTGATAATAGCTTTTTTATTTAAAATTCACTATAGGGATCTTCTATACTATCTATTAAAACTCATGACTGTCAGGCAAAGAAACACAATTACAAAAACCGTTTGTGTGAATATAATTAAATATTTATAATATTTTTTTTTTATAAAATCATAGAGATTACAATTCAATATTGATAATAACAAAAAAAATTTTTAAATTACCGTAACAAATACCAAAAAACAATAATCAGAGAATACAAAATTAAATCGACCAATCAGAAAAACGTAACCATTTTATTCGTGCGCTGATTGGTCATTTTTATTTTTAAATTTTCGAAATGAATAAAAATAAAAATAAAATAATTTTTTATGTTGTTAACTTGAGACAGTGCGCTCGGAGAGCGTGCAGTGTATTTCTAGTATTTGATTAATTTCAGGAATGTACAGTTTCATGAAAAGCAATCGATAAAGAAGATAATCAGTAAGAGTTAAGTGGAAAAATAAAAAATTCAGAAATAAATTAACTTTCCCCAGACATTCCCATAAAGTCTTCGGTCTTATGATGAGAACATGGGAAAGGTTCAGTGAATTTTTGGGGGAAAAAAAAACTTATGAAATATTACATGATATGATTCACTTACTATTGCTGTATTATCTTTAGGAGAATTTAATTTTCAATATTGCCATAATTTGAAAAAATATAAAAATACTTTTCAAGTTTAATTAATTAAATTTAAAGTTCAATTAAAAATTAATATACATATATTGAATATTAAAAATCCATTAGCTAATTATTATAACTCTT